GGGGGGAGAGCAGCTCGATGTTATATGGACAGAGCAAGTCGTACGGACTCGAAGCTTACAAGCAACAAAGCTGTAAGAAACACAATGGGGGGGACAAGAGATGAGAGAGTAGGGAGGGAAGAAGACAGGATGCGCTGGCGGGAATAATATGTGCAGCTGCGAGGTGCAATGGCGTGCCAGAAGGAGGAGATTTAAATGACAACGGGTGATGAGAGGGGAGCTAGCTTGGCTGGACGAGCTCAACCTCCCGCGCCTCAAGGAGCCCCGCGCGGTGCCTTTTTTCGGGGCAGTTGGTGGTTGCACCGGTGACCACCAGTGACGTGTGGCGTGGGTGGACTACAAGAGTCTTAGCTTGGGGCGGTACCAAGGAACATGCGCTCTAGGTTAGGCGGCAGGAGGGTGACATAATAAAACGTGGCACACCACGGCGACCGAAGTTGTGTTCTAGCACAAGGCCGACAGTCAGCACAAAGAGACGTTAAATACCAAGACAGGTTACGGGTTGATGTTTATCATTTCATTGTTCTAGTCGTTCTTATTCATCAAATGATACTCTTCAGTCACTATATAGATTCGATACACATTCAACATGCCTTAGTCTGGCTCGTCGATGTTGCACCCAGTGGCCAAGGTACCTCCTAGCGCGTACCCCAGGTACCCGCCGGTCGGCAAACTGAGGTACATGCCCCACCCGCCTCAAGCCGACCAGGAAGTATCTTTCTAGCGCATGAAGCCCAACACAGGCAGAACCAACTCTGCGGGGTACAGCACCGTGATGGCGCTGGGGTTCTGGCTGTGGGGGAACTCAGAACTTCGCAAATCCATTGGCCCCATAGAGCATGGCCCAGCTGAACAACCACAAACAAGCCAACTCTGCTATTTTTCATCTTGCTCGACTGTCACCAGCCCCCAGTTCCCGGCAAGCAATCTGAATCGACGTAACGTTTCCCAGTCACGAGGCAGGGGGGATCTATCGGCTAGAGCCTCATGTGTGCTCGGGCGCTACGAATCACGGCTCGTCCCCAGGAATTGCACAGCCATGTGACTAAAGAAGGCAGCATAACACCGACCTCATGCCTACGCCCACCACATCCAATCCGGGTAAATGCGCTGGGAGCCACGTAAGGTTGGCTTCTTTGGAGCAAGTCTTGGGCTTTAGACCTATTTGTTGGGTGGATAAACGGTCATGCTCGGCTTGTCTGAGAACACAATGCATAGATGACTAATCGGAAATGTTTAGAAGGCAGATGTTGGTTTACTAATGCAATGCTTGCACTGGCTCTAGATCCTACTCACCCACTCCCTGTAACACCCGGTCCTTTATCGACAATCTACAGAATCCCTCGGTTGTGTCTGAAGCTGGCCACCATGATGGCAAGGTAGACACCGGAAATGGACGAACAGTAAAACCCCGCGATCCAAGAGAGTAATAGATTGGCATATTTCCCTTCGCCCATTCCCTCCCTCTTTCCTGTTTTCTGGCTGTTGGTTCCACGATTCGGGATGGGATATCCACCCACCCTCAGGGCTTTTGCCCATATGTGACGAGACTAAAGTTCAAAAGTCAACTGGTTGCTGTTCAATTAACACCTTCAAAGCGATTACGGGTGGTAAATTAAAGATTCAACGCACATGGTCCAGTAGGCGTGGATGCGGGGGTCTCTCATATCCTTGCGGACTGCAGCGAGAAAAGGCAACAGCTCCTCTTTGGTCCATCCAAGACCTCTGGTCATCAGGGCCATGCTAATCCCCTCAAGGCCGTTCTCGATGTTTGCGCGCGTCCAGAGACCCAGTTCTTTTTTTTTTGCGTCCTTCGGCCAGGGGTTTGTTGGCCACTTGTAGGCCCTTTGGGTTACGTTTTTAAACCCGGCGTTGATGAACCGCTGCTTGTGATAGTTAGAAGCTGCAATAGACCGACCCAAGTTTTGGCTGGCCTTTAGCATCAAGGACATCCATTGGTGAAGAGCGTGTTCTTCCGTGAGGCTACCGTCGTCAGACTTGCAGGGGACGCTGCTGTCAATCACTTCAAGCCAGCCACCTGGTTTCAGATGACTTGGTCACATTGTCAGTACATAACCCACTAAAAAGATGGCGGGGGAACAGAACACACAATGACGCCTCGTTCATGAAATTGTCCCAGTTGGCGAAGCTACCAACCATCATCCGGGAAAAGATAAAATCAAAGGGCTCTGTCCAAGTCCAATCATTCTCTATGTCATCGACTTCAAAGCGGCAATTGACAGGAACACTATACCATAGAATGAGGTTAGAGCATTGAACCATGTGGTAGAGTGGCGGGATTTGTTGGGTAAACTCATACAACTCTGGTTGGATAGGGCTAAGGTCAACTCCAATTACTGTTGCGTGAGGATGCTCGTCGGCTATTTCGGGGTGTTAGTCAGGCCAATTTTCCATCAAACAACTGCCGGGAGTGTATGTTGATCATGCATACCGAAATCAATTGCCCAGACTCCTGTGCCTGTTCCAACGTCCAAGACACGCCTTGCACTGTTTGCCCCTGGAGAAAAGCAAGAACGGCCGTCAAAAGTTATGGAAAATTGATGGTTTTGTATATCTGTAAGATAATCATATTAGCAAGTGGGAGCTAGGTATCAACAATGTTCTATAGGGAATCGCATACCGAGCCTCTGTTTTTCTTCCTATGAAGTGAACATTCCGCCCGTATTAGCGGATTCCACGACTGGAAGATGGAAGCTACACTCTTGATTTGGGAATGGATACCTCGTCATTGGGTAATACATATTCTGGCACAAGGTGTTAGCTAGTACTTGCAGGCGTGGCAGGTTATGTAGGGGTATTTTCACATACTTCCTTTACTGAGAGCATGATACCTCCGCCCATTCTCCATGTGGTAATTGTATACACTTGAGTGAACAGACTCTGATGTCAAGGCATCATCGACCTATTGGTAACAGCACAAACACCAACATTAGCCGATTGCCATTTACCTAGATCAAGAAGGATAATTGATACTCACAATCCCAAGCGCGGAATCATGGTCATTTCCGTTGTTCACTTCCTCCACATGCTGCGTAATTATAAAAATATATAGTTAGAATCGTCGGTGCTACCAAAGATGGAGAAGAATACACACCCAAGGGTCTACAACGGTTTCCCCTGAACCATTGGCGTGTGATTGACCGGTGGCTCCGGGGACCAAGTCGGACATGGTTTTCTAAAGGCCGTTAGTAGTGACAGTGCTTCTGTCGCCAGGCCGTAAATAAATGTGTTTCAGAATCCGTATCGTTCTCCATCTACCCACGGGTTTCTATTTGGCATGGTTTTCTAGCATACTCAGATCAAGCTCAGAGTAGAAGCAAGAAAAGGAGAAGCGAGTAGGCTCCTTGGTTCTGTTGGAGCGAACAAAAGCCTTCATCTGCACATGATAAACCCGTTTACGTTTCTCTTCTAATCCCAGTAGCTAGGCGCATGAGGTGGGATGAACGCGCAACTGCGGGTAGATGTTGATAGAGAAAGGGCGGACGAGGTCATGTTCAGCGGGATCCATCAGGTCTAGATTGTCTCTGGCTCCTGAACTAGGCCAACAGCAGGGTCCAGCTGTTGGCCACCCTCATCCTGGCCGCGATGAAGAGCCCTGTCACGCAAGCCCAATGATTGGCCGGTACTCTTCTGCAACCGTGCACCTCATTTATTATCACTGCGGGCCGGCTAGCTGCGACAATGGATACATAATACGGGATACTATAGGCCAGAGAGTGGCCTGTCTGTGCTTCCCCCCTCCCATGCTCTAAATCCAGCTTGAGGGTAAGCAACCTCAGGAAGGTTGATGTCCCTCCTTCACTTAAGGTGTGGTGGGTACTGAATCAACCTATTGCTCCTAGACACAACTGTCATTTCAACTACCAACTCAGTCAAGATCCTAGTGTAACTTTGTACCCAAGTCTGGCTTCTTGACGGAACTAGGGGTTTTATCTACTGTATTGTAAAGATCAGCGATTTCAACATGGGCCATTAAAGACTAGCAAGGGGGACGCCCTTCTATGTACTATGTAGCATCGTCTCAATAATTTCAGCAAGAGTATTGGAAGACATTTACAAGATGAGTGTGTCTTTAAATAATATTTAACCTCTGAGAATTAACGAGACGCCAAAGGTTCGAAAGAGCTTCGGATGTCTAGGCCTAGGTACTCTACAGATTCAACTACTTGGCTAGATGCTCAGAATTACCCACTAGGGAAATGCCTTTGATTAGGAACCTTACCTATACTACGGAGGTAAGAGCTATGATCATGTGCCTGCCCCAATGGAGATGGGGGAACAGAACGAGCGCTTCCTTCGTACTGTTAAACCCTTGCACTCTTGCTGGCACAATACCTAGGTACACAAGTGGGTGACATATAACATGGCACACCAAAGCTCTTTTCGCATAAGGTACGGGCTTCGTTTTCAACTAGAACAATAATAAGAGAATAATAAATCATCCTACGATATTTAGCTTGATATTGTATTTGTTAATAGGTTAACTATCTTGACATTATATTGAAATTTAATACTGAAGTATTCACCTAGATGTGCCATATTTTATGTCAGCCGCTTGGAACATAGCTGGCACTGCCATAGCGGGGTCGGATTTTTGCCACTCATAATCAGTTGCATCAAGTTCTTTCAAGTACAGAGCAAACATACAGGCAGATGCATTAAGACACACCCTGCCAGAGCCAATGGTGACCGACGATGCAGGCAGCCTGGGGCTAAACTCGGGTTCTGGAAGATGGTGGAAACCTCTTGGCTTGCTGCCCGACTGCCAAGACCCGGTAATCCTCACGAGACAGCGGTCCCAGCCGGATTAGAAGGCACGTACTGCCATCGAATCGGTATGTTCTTTATACCTTAGGTGGTAATACAGTTGCATGAACAAGGCGCACCATCAGTAAGAAGCTGCACACACATGCACATGATAGTGACTTTTTGAGTGGGCGATGATTTAATTATATTCATGGAAAGGTGTCACGAGAAATCCCATCAGCGGAGTCAGCGGCTGCGAGGTTGTGAATGAAGTTCACGAATTAGCTTAGTTCAAACACGGCCTGTCACAGGAAATGATATTTTGATGATCTACAAAGGTGCAAGTGAGGCCTGCTCTATGTTCAAATGTAAGGGAGGTCTGTGATGCACAGGGAGGTACTGTACCCATGCACAGAGTACGCCACCTAACTAATGGTAGTATCTTCAAACTCGAGTCCCCCAATTGAATGCTACGTAAAATGCTGCGCTTCGAGAGTTTGCGTACATACATAGCCATCAAGGGGAGGGTTAAGCCTATGCACGGCGGCATTCCAACAAAAACCACTTTTCTTAGAAACATTAAGCCACGTGTGACAGAGCTCATCTTGCAACTGAACAGATATGACTGGAGGGCTGCCGCATGTTTAAGTTGTGACTCATTAGACTCTGAGGCAAATGACCAAGTGGTAAAGTACTTGCGCCCGAGATGCCTTGCGCAAAGTCAGATATCATAGCCTTCCACCTCAGCACCTCAGCCATTAATAAAAAAGGCGAATCTCCCAGACACCAGCATTAGAAACTTGCCCCTTCCACACTCTCACACACACACACATACACACACGCTTTTCCACTGCACTGATTACTGCCCATACCGCAGCAACTTGTGAATCCACAACAACTCTTCAGCACACCCACCAACCAACCAGCCTCCCCTCCACCCCACTAATTATTCGGGCGCAAAGGCCAGGCATTTCACCACTTGATTATTCCGGGGACTGCTTCCGACACTTTCTTTGTCTTACACATTTCAACACATCACATCACATCGATTTATCTACAAAAAGGAGCGCATCGAACCCAGACGCACCGGCACATTCCTGCATTCCCTTGCCTCTCTTCCGTTACACCTTCCTCTGCAGAGTTCCCGTGTATCATCAGCGCGACACCCACCACACCGACAAAAAAAAATGTCTTCACCTAATTCGAACGCGTCGCACGACGCCCAGATGGCAAACAAGCCCAAGAAACTAGAACAGATTTCGTTCCGATTTTGCTCGGAATGCTCTAATATGCTCTACCCCAAGGAGGATGAAGACGCCCACAAGCTCCAGTTCACCTGTCGAACGTGCCAGTACACCGAGGATGCCACGACCACCTGCGTCTTCCGAAACGTCCTCAACGAGACCGCAGGAGAGACCGCCGGTGTCACCCAGGACGTGGGCTCTGATCCAACGGTTAGTGCTTTTCCACCTGCCCTCTGCTTTTGTTGTGGTACAATCGTCTACTGCACCACATGCGGTGAATCCAATTCCGAAATGGCAGTCGAGTACTGCAAACCAACGACACAAAACGATCTGTTCTCTTCCCGCAATCTATCCGTTTTCCAGATGACATTCTGGGATGAGGACGAATACGACGAGGAAATGATGTCCGAGAAGAGCTATCACAGCATGAGCAGCGAGCTTTCTTCCGATTCACATGACGACGACAGCTCTTGTAGTACCGAAATCTAAACGATTGATGGCTCTCCAATCGAGCACAAGCCCGTAACGAAACCGAAACCGAAACCGAAACCATTGCGAATATAAAAACGCCAGTGATGCAAGATTCTGTTGGAGCAAATGCCGATGGTGTTCCAATAAACTGCGCTTTTACCCCAACATGATTTCGACATTCTGCCTTGTTTGGAGAATCACTGGCTAACAGAAACTTATGATTTGACGGCGACAGCTTCCACGATCGAACAAGCCCTGCCCAAACTGTGCGCATACAGAAGCTGTGTTCTTCCAATCGCAACAGCGCAGTGCCGAGACTGGAATGGTGAGTCGTGCTCCCGGTTGCTACCGATGTGTGGCCGAGGAGCGTCTCCGAATGCTGATTATGATGGGAAAAAGAAACTCTTCTATGTCTGCTGCGAATGCGGTCACATCTTCACCTAATAGCGATGCTTTTGCTGTACGAGCCAGCCTTCATGGCCGTTTACGAAATTCGAGAATACTAAGCCATACGACGAGCGGCATGGCATGGCGTCATGGGAAAGGATTTCGGCGCTTTAATCGTATTGATATTTTCCCTTCTATTATCTGTTATTTGTATACTTGGGGACCGAATGGGGAAGCCACAGAGCTCGACCTCTCAGAAGAATTATGTAGCAATAGATGCAAAAGACTCTCAGTTAGATGAGAACAAGAGAATAGTCTTGAACCACTTGGGCAAACACAGCACTGCGCTTGACCATCTTTATTACAAGACCTTCCAAATCACACGTGAACCGAAAATGCCCCAAATGAAAATGATCGTAAAATAATTTGTACATTCGTCTAACGCCGCATAGCATGCCCAGGATCTAATGCAATCCCATAGTTGTACAGTGATATTTCCATCTTCGTATAAAATCATTCCTCTCTCCATTCTTCAATGTCCACGACCCAAAAGGCACCTCTTTTTCCTAGCCGTATGCCCAATTTATGCCTGAGAAGGAGCCATCGAAAGAATCTTGCTCCACTTCTTCCTCTTGAGCTCGGCACCTACGACGCCGTTAATTCGAGAGCCAACGGGATCTCCAGCCTTGTTAAGGAGGACGCAGGCATTGTCGTCGAACTTGACGCAGGAGCCATCGCGGCGTTGGACGGGGTATCTAGTGCGGACAACGACGGCGTGTCGGATATCTCCTCGCTTGACTTTGTTTGCGGCGGACACACCAGCCATACCTGAGGCGGAGGCCCCCCGATGTTCCTTGACAACTACCACGATGCGGTCACCTAGGCGCGGAATCTGATTAGCAGGGTGTCCGAGCGCAATCCTCCAGAAGAGGCAGAATTTGTGGTCGGTCGGCTTGAAGATAATTCGATCGAGGGAAGAGGGAGAAGCTGTGCATACCGATTTGGGCAGCCCGCTTCTGTCCAATAACCAGAGCGCACTCAACCAGGGCGGCACCGGAGTTGTCGATGCAATTCAGGACGGTCTGTGGACCGAGATTATTAGCATCTAGCCATCTGAAAGATCTGTTCCATGCCATTTACCTTTAATTGAATCATTTTGTCGGCACCACCTGGGACGGCAAGAGGAGCTTCACCAATCTGCTTTCACCATCACCATCTTCATGACTGCCATTTGGCGTTGAACTTTTCCAGATCCAGTAGGTCACGTGGCTCGCCGGGTGCCCCATTACGTGGGTGATGATTGGCTCGCGCATCCGGCCGAGAAAGCTACCTAATTTGGAACAGACATGCCTTCACACCAGACAAGCTAAGCAAATCACACAATACTGCCCTGCCGCTGCGCTGCGTGGTCTGTGCTCGTCGCCTGGCCAGCGACCCGACTAGCTAAAGGTGGCTGGAAGCAAGCAAATATACCCAAAAGGAATGGGGGGGTGGAGGGAATAGCGAGCCCCCTTCCCTTCCTCCACGCCAAGTCCCTCAGCAGCGCCTCATAGTTCGTTATGACTTTGTCCTCAGATCATTCTCACCTTCATTCCTCCCCTTGCCCTGGACCGCTCTCTCCAATTTTTCCTTTTTGACTTTCTGTCTGTTCTTCTGGGCCTACCTTTGCCTCTCATTCTTATTCACTGCACAGAACGGCGCTTCAGTTAGCACTAGCCACACACACCTGAGAGACTCGAGTCGAGTGTTAGCGGTTCAGCCGCCGTCGCCGCTGTCGTTTCGTAGCATGACGTTACCTTCCTTCGAGAGCTGAGCGGGTCGCAAACTCACCAAAGCTTTGGTGCGCTTTTCGGTATTTAGTTTTGTCTCTACGGGATTTTTTGCTTTCCGGGTCTTCTTCTTTGCATTTCTTTTCGGAATTGGGATTAGAGCATTTTGATTTCAGCGAATTCTACGTTTCAGCCGCTCTGGCTCTCTTCCGTTGCTTGGGGCCAACACCACTCTCACAGCAGCCCTGAGCTTACGACCACGTTTACCAACAAACTTAGCCAAATTTGCCCAGCCTTTGCGCCCAGACTGGCTACACACATAAGCGATTGCTCACGAGCAGACACGCGCAATGGGACGCTCGCAGCCAGCGCCCGCAAAGAAGCAGGCACTGACTCTGGCACAATTGGCTGCGTATGACGATATCTCGACCGATGCACTCGTTGACCACGTGAGTACCGATTCTTCTTGCTATCGGGGCTGATCAAGAGAGGAGCCCCTCGCTAACCATGAAATTAGGTGCTATACTGGACTTCGGTGCCCAAGAACCGATCCACCTACCACCCGTCTCGTGGTGTAAAGGGGGACGAGATTGTCAAGATCGTTCAGGAGGAGCTTGTGCTGAAGAAGGACCTCGATGGAGCGATGAAGAGATTAATGGCGACCGACGGTATCCGCAGGTTCGCCAATTGTCTCAAGACCGACAAGGAAAAGGACGACTTTCAACGACACCTCAGACGCTATACACAGATCTACTTGCCTGACTGCCCCTGGGAGGTCAATTCAACCAATCGCTACACCATTGTGAGCCACGAGGCCGCCATCACAGCACGACGATTTATCCGGCGCAACGAGTCCATCAAGTACTTGTCCGGCATTCAGGTTGTCATCACACCCGAGGAAGAAAAGGAGATGACCACCCGTAAGAAGGACTTTAGCATTGTAGTCAGCTCGAGGAACAAGTGTACCAGCCTGTTCATGGGCCCTGCCCGCTTTGCGAACCATGACTGCGATGCCAACGCAAAACTGGTCACCACAAGTCACGCCGGTATTGAGATTATTGCAACCAGGGATATCCAGTCCGGGGACGAAATTACGGTTACATACGGAGAAAATTATTTTGGGGAGGACAACTGCGAGTGTCTCTGCAGATCGTGTGAGGACAATCTACGGAACGGATGGGAGCCGGAGGATGGGACTGCCCCTGCCCGGGAGAGCGTTGAGGAATCCAGGCCGGAAATCTATGCATTACGACGGCGGAGGAGAGACGACAGCATCGGTGGCTCATCCCGAACATCTTCTGTGACACCCATCGTCCGCCCCAAGGTTCTAAAAACTAGGTTAAAGGGGTCTCGCCTCAGCGCCGCAGGTGATGCCTTCTCCGCGGCCGGGTCCCCTGTGCCAGACCAATCTCCACGAGGACGGAAACGACCGATTGACGCACTAGCTTCACCACCCAAAACGCCATCAAAGAGGTTAAAATGCCTGACTAGTACTCGAGTCTCTGATAGTGTTACTTCGAGGAGCTGTTCGATGTCACGCAGTGGCTCTTCGAGCGGTGGGGAAGCTGTCGAGACGGATGTCACCTCACCAGAAAAAGAGAGCCCTGAACCGACGATGCCGACTCCTGCCAAAGAATCGACTGTACTGCAGATGAAGATGCACCTGGCAGCGGATCCCAAGAGCATGACAATTCAGTCGATTCTCAACACGCCCACCACCGAGACACCGCAGGAGCACCCTGATACCAGTCCTATCGCAGTGAGCATCGAGCCTGTCGAGGAGGGAGACTCGGTTGCGCCGGAGGAAGACGCCCCAAAACCGACCAAGAAATACCAACGAAGAGTTTTTATCAAACAAACCACACCTCCAGCTCAGCATCGCACACCGGGCGACTACGTTCTCACACCACTTCTTCTCTCGGAGCCAGCCATGGCATGGATCCAGTGCTCTGTTTGTCCGACGTACTTTGTACAGCAGAACGCGTACTTTACAAGATCCTCATGTCCACGATGCGAGAGACATTCCAGAATTTACGGCTATATTTGGCCTAAGACGGACAGGGCCGGTCCTTCAGACAAGGAGGAGCGTGTTCTGGATCACAGGACGATCCATCGGTTCCTGGACCCCAATGACGAACGTAGGGCACGTGGGAGAAAGATGGCCGAAAAAGAGGTTACACCAGAAGAGGAATCTGAAGAAGAGGAGGCCCCTCCACGGGGTCGACGCATTAAGAGAGGGCGCCCAAGGAAGGCAGACCAGCAGAAGAGAGCGGCGGAGGAGTCGGCTCCGCGTGCCAAGTCAGCACCTGAATCTGCCAGCGGAGTCCGACGTAGTGGTCGAAGCCGTAGGGTGAGTAGCAAGCTTGTTGAATGTTAGTCTCTGGTTTGGCAGTGGCTGGCTCCCCGCACGGATTCTGGACGAGTGGATTTTCCATGATGTCATGGGAGTTAGTGAGTTGGCCTTTGTTTTTATTTTCTGATTTCAAGCATATCTTATACCCCTTTCGGTTCATGGGGGACAATAGGATAAAGCAACATCTCTTCCAATCACCCGTATAGAAGAGGTAGTCAAGCAGAACGAGAGACGTCCTGGATCTGACAACATAGCCTAGCATAATTGAACACCCACGCATTTATACCGTTATCTCTACTATCCCTAAAACCTTTGCTTACACAATCCTGAGAGATTCCATCTAACAGCTGCACACGAGTCCTGATCGATGCAGGCGATCACGAGAAAGATCCAGAGGTACCATGTCTCTCGCGGCGTGTTTTGAACGATTGGCTAGCAAAATTTTCTTCAAAACCCTGGAACACGACCCTAATACAGCCACATCGACGACTATCCAAACCTTAAGGGATGTTTCCTTCTTTCCAAGCCATTGTCCGATGAATCCAACTGAGTGTCCGATTTCATCGAAAACCGCTCCATCTCATGCCTACCACATTGGCGTGATGAGTTTTCGTCGAGATGTACCAACCGGCCCGTCATTTTCAGCTTGATGGATGATCCCTGATGGCTTCTATGGTATCTGAAGCTGAGGGCTACCATGATTACCTGACCTGACAGCAAAATCCCGTGGCGTATTTCGGCCAGGGCTTCAATCGTTCCAGGTGAGGGATAACTGTTTTATTTCTCACGTCGAGTCGAACAACATTAGATGCATAATAGGTACCTAGTAGGCTCTGCGGAAAGTCGGTTTAGATCGTCACGGTATCCTCCATTCATTATATCTCCATCGCGAATAACATCAACATAAACATAAAATATCAGTCTAGAGTTTGATCCATATGGGTCAAACTTTCGAAATCATCCTCCTCATAGGTTGTCTCTTCGACATCCTCCTCGACGATCACCATGAGAGTTCCCCAGCGCATAAACGAGATCGTGGGAGAGGGGCCAATAAACTTTGTAAAACGCGAAATCGGTGTCAAGGCTTATTATCAAGGAAATCACAACAAGCATTGCTCCTTTACCACAAAGTCTACCGAACCTGACTGGCGGGCTGGAGAAGGTCATAAAAGGGGGCGGATTCTTGGATCGCCCGCAGTCGATTGCCAACTTCATTCCCAGTATCTCTTCTCTCTGGGTCTTGACAGCGATTTCTGCCGCAGCTTGGCGGATTTCTACCTTTTTCTTCAATTTGGCTTATATTCCATCTCAGTCGCTAGCCCCCAAAGATGCGCATTACACAAGCCGCTCAGATCCTCCTGGGTCTCCCCCTGCTATGTGTCGCGGCTCCGGCCCCAGCCAGCGGCAATTACTTCGAGGAAATCCTATGCCGCGTTGATACAGACTGCCAGTACAAGATGGTCTGCACCATCATCTGGCCCGCAATTGGCATGGGTACATGCATGACCAAGAGGGAGAAGCAGGGCTTCGAAGACATTAAACGCCTGATCGAAGCCGGCGTGCCCGCACTGAGTCCAGTCCCCGTTGCTCCCACGGTTCCTGCTGGTGCTGCTGCCCCTGCTGGTGCCCCTGCGGCTGTTCCTCCTGCTGCCCCTGCTGTTGATCCTGCTGCCCTTGCCGCCCTTGTTTCTCAAACAATGGAGCAGGAAATGTCAAAGAAAGCCAAGAAGGACAGAAAAAAGAAGGACGAGGGCAAGGGCAAGGGCAAGGGCAAGATGACAGAGAAAAAGTATAAGGAACATGTAGAGAAGGAGAACAATGAGATAGAGAAGCTGAAGAAACAGGCAGAGAGGCTTGACGAAGAGGCACAGAAGAGGAAGGAAGAGGAAGAGGAAGAAGAAAAGAGGGAGGAAGAGCAAAAGCTGCTAGAAGCAAAGGGAGAGGAATTAAAGGCGGAGCAAGAGAGGAGAAAGGAAGAGAAAGAGCAGATAGACGCAGAGGACGAGCAGTTGACTAAAGAGCAAGAGAAGAGGAGGGATGAGGAAGAGAAAGAGAAGTACGCGCGAAAGAAGGGAAGGGGAAAGAAGAAGAAGGGCAAGGGAAAGAAAAGCCTCAACAATTAAGTGAGAGAAAGGCAATACGCGCAAACAGTAAGTCATCCTGGTCAAATATCCAGCTTTTATTCCTAATTCCAGCTAACAAGTCTTTGAAGTTAATATCAGCACCAATGGCTCAGCGAGCCATATATCAGCTGTTTATATTAATCGCCAGCTTGCCCACCTTTCTGTATTTTCTGCCGGTGGAACTGAGCACGATTGAAAATAAGGTTATATCAGAGAGGTGGTTATATCACAAAGGGAATCTTCGTGCATTGGGATTTCAATTTTGCGTTTATATCTTGTGATGAATGTATTTTATACTGACAAAGTCCCTTTATCCTTATGGGGGAAACCCCAGCAAAGCAAGAAGAAGAAGAAAAATATTCTAGGGATTGGCTAGAGCTTCAGGTACATTCCAATTCGACACAACCTGTATAAATCAGAGTGAAGTAAAAATAGTCCTTTCTCAGAAATTGCCACCCTAAAGACTCTCACCCTTATCCCGAACTGCATATCCCTTTCGAGGCAGAATCTTCTCCTCTAGTTCTACGAGAGTCTTGGGTAAGTTCAACCCAACCCCAAAGAAGACAAAGATAGCCCACTTCCACCGGAATGGGTTGAATGCCACGCAAAATGTGAACCACCAAACCAGCTCAAGGTAGGTGAAGAAGTCAAAGGCGCCTGTTGGGCTGCTTCGCTTCAATAACGTTGTGAGGTCGATCCATCGCTGCATCCAGAAAGGAGAGGGCCGTGTGAGCGGATCTGTGAGAAACATGAGGAGAATCCGAGTGTATATCCCAATGTGCCAGTTACCCACAGACCCGATGGCGGCCACGTAGGTACAGTTGATAGCGGAGATGGAAGGATGGGCTGGGGGGAATGTTTGGAGATACCAGTTCGGGGGTCCGTAAGGCTCCTTAAAGTTGTCCTCGGGCAGAAAAGACAGTGATGGTCGTTTAAATCCAGTCGCCATGACGATTATATCGGCATCGATGACTTCCTCGTGTCCCGGGCCTCCTGGAGGCACACCTTTGGCCCTACGGTTGACAATGACACCGCGGTCACAGAAGCCGTCGATATCACCACGAACCCATTCTGCTTGTCCTTTGCGAAGTTTATCCATTACGTCAGAATTCACCATCGGGGTGTCTGTAAACAGACCCTTTTCAGACGGCGCTATGTCTTCCAAGTCTCGGTAGAATAATTTTCTGAGAAGGAATTCTGGGATGAAGGAAAAGCTCGTTTCTTGACCGAAGATGTTGAAACTCAGGAGGACATCGACTACTATGTTCCGAGGAATAATCCACTTGTCTGAGCGCGATAGAATGGAAATCTTGCCAGCTTTGGCAGACGCAGCAAACTCGAGTGCCTCAACTGCTGAGGCACCACCTCCGATAATGGCCAGCTTCTTACCCTTGGCCTTTTCCCTATGGCTGCAAGGTGTTATAACAAGGTTCAAGGATAGTGAATGGGTTTGGCTGTTTCGTTTTCTTACCTACTGAGGTCACTTGAATGGTAAATCTCGCCTTTGAACTGATCAACCCCAGGAAATGACGGGATCTTCGGCTCGCCACAAGTTCCAATGGCGGGGATAAGACCGTCAAAGCGGCCGTTGGAGGTGTCATTAACGATCCATCTGCCACGGTCGTCCTGGTAAACCTTGTTGACCTTGAAATCGAATCTGGTCTTCTTCTCAAGGCCGTAGTCTTTCCAAATCTTGCGCACTTGGCCGAGGATCTGCTGACGATTTGGGTAGCCGCTCTGCCAGGTAACAGAAGGGTGGAATCGGTACATGATCGAGTGGATCTGCAAACCTGACTCCTGGTTCACTCTCTGTGAGGAAAACTAATTAGAGAGGGAATACAAAGCAAACATGTGCCTCAACTTACACTCCAGATGCCGCCAACCTGGTCGCTAGGACCCTGTTCGAAGATGGTGACGTCGAACCCATGGCCAACACAATGGGCGGCTGCCGTGATACCCGTAATGCCAGCCCCAACGATGGCAATCTTTGGCCTATTGAGCTCATTATCTGAACGAGGCGGGTTGGGAGCAATGGTCTTGTGTATGATCCACTGCAGTATCTGGTACAAAAAGAGCAGGGGATGGAGGAAAGGGTTCTCGACCTGAGATCGCGAGGCCATCGTGATGGTTGCAGCAGCGCTTTGTCCAGAGGAGAAACTGCACTGCATAGCCAGGTTGATGGAATTGGAAAGAATGGAAGCAAGCTAGAAGACCAATTGAGGCGGGTAAGGCTTTTTGTCCCTTCACACACCCCTGCCGAAGATGGATGGTTGTGAGTCGAGCCTCGGACGGCTTACGATTTCGCAGATAATAGTGACGTCAATAATACTCAATCTTCACATGGCATCTTCCATTGTATCAAATATTCACATGCTCGAGCCAATTGAACCCACAGCCAATTTCTTCATAAGGCCACTCGTTTCCGGATCCATCCGCTATTTACTTGTGATGGAGACCTGTCATTCCAAGCGTGTTCTCGTGTTGATGCTTGTGATCCGCTAGAGTGAGCGACGTCATCGCCAATCTGCCTCACTGACCAAACTCTACCTCTCTACAATAACTGGGTCTGAAGCCATTCAAATTATACTCGCATTCTGTGCCGCATCTTCAGTACAGTGAGCCTACTTCATTCAATCGAGTGAAGAAGAACATTTCTTCATCAATCGGTGATCGTGGTCAGGATACTACATCACCCTTCCCAAACCAAACCGCCAGCAGCATCATGGAGCATCCAGGTAAGCAAGCAAACATCATCTGGGCTAACTACCCAGAGAGATCCCAGCCACGTCGTGTTGAGACACTGTCTAAAATTCAGTCCCTCAATAGTCAAAGAGATCGAAGGTGTTATCACCTCTCTCACCAAAGGCAGCCCGCCTGAGCAAGAAGAGACCCTCTACAACTATTTCCTATCCAACGCTTCATTCTCCCACCCTTTTTGCTATGTCCCGCCACTCGCCAAGGGCTCGGTTCCCTTTGCCCCGGCCATTGACTCAGCCTGGCTCATCTTGGGTATCTATCGCTGGTACCGCACCTTGAGCCCCAACATCGACATCACCATTGACTCTGCAGGTATGTAGTATCTCCTTCGTTCACTGGAGCCCAGCAATTGTAGAGCCTAACGCGCCGAACCTCACAAGTATTTGACCAACGATCTGGGATTCTGTACGTCTCCATACGGCAGACTTTCGCTGTGTGGTTTATTCCCTTCTACAAGGCCCAAGTCAAGCTCGTCTCAGTGCTGCGTCTGACTCAACGCACGTCATGGGCGCCCGAAGAGACCGTCACGAGGAGAGCCCTCGCCGAGAGCAGGGAGCCCGCGGCTCTTGCCGGTCCCGGCCGCGAAAGAGCCCGTTATTACATCTCTAGCCAGGAGGACCTTTACACCATTAATGACTGCATCCGGTTTCTGGTCCCAGGTGTCGGACCGTTGCTGTGGTGTCTTTGGCAACTGTACAGCACGCTGCTCTGCGTTGTAGGGTCTCTGGTCTTCATGCCCCTCTACCTAGTTTTGAATAAAAGCAAGGTCAAGGCAAGGTAGTGTAGCTCTCTTTTCAGTACTACCATTGCTGTTTTTCTCTTTTCCTTCTATTTCGCTAGAGAGCACAGAGCATGATAATACGGAACTGAAAGGGAGATCAATTGACTGGAATACAATACTGTCTCTGTTACCATTTCAGAAAGGACAACGTGAAGAAAAAAATGCAATCCAAGATAGGCTATGAAATCCAAGGGCTATGCTTTTGGTCACAAAATTGCTTGATTATATGATCAGAACCGCTAGAAAAAGTCGTCAGAGCTTCGATGGTGCTCCGGTTGGCTCATATACCTGAAACTCCACGCCGGTGACTTGACCTTCTTTCATCATCCGCCGAAGAATCTTTCCACTGGGCGATTTGGGGATCTGGTCAACAAACACTATGCCTCCCCTCAGCCTCTTGTACCTCGCCGTATGTGCTTCGACAAGATCGCGCAACCGGTATGCAAGGGCTTTGAGCTCTGAGTGCGTTTGTGCCTTAACCGCAGCAACAACAAACGCACGCGGCCATTCGGTCGCTCTCTCTGCGTCGTAGACAGCTGCCACTCCGGCATCTGCGACCTCTTCGCTACTACAAATAACGGCCTCGATCTCTGCTGGTGGCACCTGGAACCCACGGACCTTGATAAGTTCCTTGATCCGGTCTGTGAGGCGGATACTCCCATCTAGGTTGATGGTGCCGACATCGCCAGTCCGAAGCCAACCGTGTGGTGTCAGAGCTTCAGCTGTGGGCGAGGGGCCGCTGAGCTGTTCTGTGGAAAATAACCCCCCGACAGGCATGTATGTCATCATCAGGCCGGGTGATCGGGTTAGAACCTCGCCAGGCTCCCCAATCTCAGCAGGGACCAGCCCACGCTCCCCGGGGACATGGGTGGCAATCATAACCTCAACCCCCCAGTGCGGCTGGCCACTGTCATCCCGTTGGGCTTGCATGTCTTTCTCATTGAGACCAGGTTGGCATGCCACATTACCAGCCTCGGTCAGGCCGTATCCCATACGAATACGGAACCCGAGTCGGGTGAATACCTGGGCTATGATATCGTGACCCAATGGCGCACCGCCTGTAACGCCGGCGATAACACTGGAGAACCGGTTACGGCCACGGCTGTCGCGCTTAGCGTAGGGCTCAACAAGGGGTGACTTGGCCAATGCTACTGCTACCGGTGGTGCCAAAACCAGATAGGTAATCTGGAGACGGGGAATAGCGGCTAACACAGTCTCGAGCTTGAATGCCGGCAAAGTATACACCGTTGATCCGGTAGGGATGGCCAGAAGGAGAAGGTTCAAAAGGCCGTAGACGTGGAAGAATGGTACAAAGCCCAGCCATCGCTGGCGTTTGCGCAAGTAGAAGTCGGCGTCATGCCAGAGTGAGGTGACTGAGAAATTCAGCGACTGGTGGGACAACAGCACGCCTTTAGAGCGACCAGATGTCCCAGATGACCACAGGATGAGCGCCGCCCGCGTAGCCGGGTCGAACCGACCAGGTGTGGAAACATGATGTCTCGAGGCCGTTAGGAGCTTCCTCCAAGAGTTCTTCGTCTCCTTGTCCTTGTCCTTGTTCTTGTCCTTGTCCTTGTTCTTGTCCTTGCCCTTCTCCTTCTCTTGCTTTTCTGCGATGGGCACTGGAGAAGGATATGTCTCGCTAGCGACATCAACAGTGTATACAGTGACGCTATCAAAGAACAACCTATCCTTCTGCGAACGGATGGCCGCTTCCATGGCAGGAAGACATGTTGTAGACGTGATGATAACCCGAGGCCGGGCTGTTTGCAAGATCCATCCTACCTCTCTGCTTGCTAAGGCGGGAGAAACCAAGGTTGCGGTGAGGCTGGCCGCCAATGTTCCCAACAGCAAGGATGGAAATGGTAGACAGTTGGGCAGCTGGATAAGAACAACTGGAGCGACCTCTGGTCGATGGCAATTGGGCGAAGGAGGTAATGATTGAAGATCATGGGGGTCTAAGCCATGAAGCGACTGGAGACTGGAGGCCAGGGATAAAGCATCCCGTCTCAATTGGGCCTTGGTGAGAATGTGGCCTGCGGATCCAAAGTCTGGTTAGCTCTGCTGGACACAGGCGAGACATGGCATGAAGAGGCAGAGATGTGACGAACCGTTGGCTTCGTCCACGAAGAGGGGGCGGCCGTCCTCAACTCGGGGGACGCGTTGTTGAGAAGGAGTAAAGTCACTCTCTTCCTCGAATGGGTTGCTGAACAACCAGCTAAAAGTGTTAGCCGAAGCAAAAGCAACGGTGGGAGCGCCTCGGCCCGTCCAAGCTGCGGCGCCGCTCATCCCCACGCTGGATCTGGCTCTGTATGTGCTGTCTCTCACACCTTCGCTGTGTTTTGGACTACGGTGTTCTGGACACGGCACACAGAGATCGGCCCATGGGGTTTAGATATGTTCAGAGGTTGGGCATCTATCTACAAACCAGACAGCGCCAGCCAGTGACTCGTTGAACAGGGACGCGATTCCGAACAACGCCTAAACATGTCCTGTTACAGTTAGTAATATAATCTTCAGCGCTACGTCGCACTGAAAGGCTGGTGGAAATGCGCGGCAGTTCAGGGTAGTTGGTGGATCGATAGGGGGCGTCACGTGCCAGCAACAGCTACATGTAATCTCGCTTCTCATTCGTTCCAAGTACATGCATCAAGATCTACTCTACCTCCGCTTCCGTCGAAAGTCCGTTTCATCTCTTCCAAGTCGATGCAGGGTGATTGGCTTTGGCCCATTCATTTACGTGGCCAGCTCAAGCCGAGGCTTGTCTTGCCTAGGTATGATCAACGGGATGTGACTATAGAACAAGCATCAAATACAACAGGTGCAACAGGTGCGTATGCAGCCATGCGGCAGGCAGATCCAAGACGCATTGTGAAATTACTTTGACTCGGCCACCTCCAATATCGTATGCAGCCCCGGCGTCCACATGGCTCGCCTGCAGCCTATATTGCTGGTGATCATCACATCATGATCACTCCCCTGGCATGCATAGTGCGAGTTCAGCTCCAGCGGGATCCAGCATACGCACGCCCACGCCACCGTCAACGCAATATCTAACAGTGCCAACAGTCTCTCCAGCCCGGGGATCGACTCGCTCGAGAAGGCTAACACGAGCAGAACCGCCATAACTGTCATGAAGTTAATGAAAGCGAGTTGTCTTGCCACCAGCGCTGTATCTTGGTCCACCTTGTGGTGTGAAACATCGTCACCTAATCGACAGTGTCAGCACCAAGCAGCATTACTTTTGATTTCTGCCCTCCGTTCCCAAGCCCCATCATAGGAGAGAAAAGAAGAACGTAATCAAATTGCGCTACTCACTGAGAATTCTCCGACGCATGAACCTGTGCAGGTGGTACGATATGAAGGGGAGAATAGTGAGACCAAACGCATGACAGATGAGCCCTACAGCCGCATAAAGATAAGGTCAGTGAGAAAAACGAGTCACGGGCATCTTGAGCTCATTTAAGATGAGTCGGGACACTTACCGGCAGATACGTTGCCAGCCTTGAATATTGGCAGCTCAGCCGTCAGTAGTGCAGAAAACGGGGCCATGACCATGGCAAGACAGCTTCGAGTCTCTCGCCTACCCTAGTCAAATCAACTCATTGGAAGAAGAAGAGAAGTCCCGTAAGCTTCATTGTGGGGGAGGGGAGAGCTGTGGGCTCGTCCTGATATGTATCTGTCCGACCCAAACCTTGTCCTCGAAGCTATCCGACTTGGGGCCCGTGAGAGGGAAGAAATGCTCTTTGCACAGGTATGCGATCGTCGCGTCTAGCGCGTCCCGGCCATTCTCCCCCCTCCATCTCTACCTTATCGTACGCCAAAACTGGGATAGAGGGGACTGCCTGGCATTAAATTTGAAAGCCACATGGCCGAGAACGGCTTTGACTCCTTACAGAACCGGAGGGTGCTTATGGATAAGTACCTGACTTCTGTTTCACCTATGCCTTCCACCTACAAACCCGTCAATCAAAAGCCTTGCATGCCTTGTGGGTATGTAGTGAAAACGGAGGGGAGAGGGATGGGCAAGGGCGAAAGGACCTTGTCTCAGTCACTTCGCCCGTTCTAGGCCTCCAAGTGGGCGTCAGAATAGCACCGACTGCAAAGGTGTTTTAATCACAGCTTTACAATTAACCTATAGACAAAAGGTAGTAAACAACACATAGTATGCTACAATACGGAGGAAACGGGAAATGAAGTGCCACGAAGAAACAGTTTTATGTCCCCATTTTTTCATGGCTTATCTTATTGCCGGTTAGAAGCAAATCCACCAATATTACAAGTGCACAGGGAGAGCCCAAATCGGTTCGACAGGGTAGGATGGAAGAATTCCCAAAGGGAGGCAGTATGAAGTTAGGCATCGTATGAGCATGGAATGCCAGGTCCTTTACTCGCCACTTGCGTTGGCATTTGGCAAGGGCCAATCATGGACGAAGGAAGTACTCGAGAGGAACAAATTAGTCGGATATTTAGGAACAAACCTGGCCAAGTGACTGTCAGAAAGCAAAGGCACCTCATAGAATTATTGTAGAACAAAATTATTGCAGCAGCCAGTCACATAATAATGCTCCCTATTGTATGAGAATAGATCCATGATACTACCTAATAATGACTTACTAATTTATTATTGTCCCATTGTATCTACATATAATCTCGCCTAGTTCCAGTCACTCGGACTCTTCTTTACTGAGGCCTGCACTTGATTTCTTCTTTCTTAAGTACCTATCAGAAGGCCACCGCCGCCAAATTGACAACTCTGAGAAGAGCCGAGCTCTTTGGAGCGACACAATCACAGAATCTTATCTCCGTGTTTGTGAGCATGCCCCATGAGCAAGACTTATATAGCGATTAAGCCCTCTCAGACTAAGGTAAGGGTACGGGAGATTTAGCATCGTGACCCGTCCCTCCGCCATACTAATTCCACATTAGCTACCGCCTAGCAGAAGATTAAGAAGAGACTATGGGGAAACTCACTTGAAACAGGCCTCCCGTGCCTGTTGTGCAATTCCTTGTGCCTCCCTTAGTTGATCAGAGTAGAAGTAAGGCTGACACGTCGAATATGCTCCCATTAAGTCTCCTACAACACCTCTGCCACTTTGTCCCCATCTCAGATAGTTGAGTAAAGAACTGTCCAGAAAGACGGTCTGCCTCCTCTGTCCACATTGCGTACTCTTGGTACGCCGCGTCCTGGCGCCCAAGCTCGGTTTCCGATAAATCATTCGCGTATTGCTGGTAACGGGTATGATAGTCGTTCTCATCCCCGTCATCCTTCTTTTGGATTTCGTTGGACACCAAACGAACATCTTCGGCGTCAATATCTCTGTCAAGAAGCTCAAGCTCAAGCTCCGCCGTGGGGTGAAATACAAAAAGAGACATCTATTTATAACCATGATAAGCATCAATAATTCAATGCCTGCAAAGCAGTCCCAAAGGCAAGCGAAGCTATGTAAGGGAGTAAGCATGGATAGGGTCTGACTTACCTGCTCGAGGCAGCTTGAGGCTGTAGGTGTTGATCGTGTTCATAAGGGTTAAGGTAAATAAGATCAAGAAATAACAACGCGCGTAGCCAGCACAATAGTAATTGCCTGCGTAGGTACGTAGCAATGGAAGTACCTACCTCATTTTTTATAAAACTAACCAATTTCCAGTCAGTTTCTCAAATCATGTGGTGCTTTAACGTCCCATTATAGAAAACGAATCAAGAAGCTGCGCTCCGGCTACTGCCTTCACACATCATCAAGCTTCGCTTGATAATGCCGCTGATATAGAAGCTTTAATACTTACCGCAATAATGCAAGAGGAAAGTAGCAAAACAAGACAAATTTGATCAATAGACAGTGGTATAATAACACGTAGGCTTACTTAAAGGAATCTACAAAGTTCCCACGACTATTGTAGAGGGGCTACCGTTAATGTATGCACATTTTAAGGTGGCGACCGGGCGTCAAAAGAACAGGGACTGCAAAGATGTCTGAATCTCAATCTTCCAATACACGCCATGATACTGAAAGACAACAGATAATACTAATAAAAATAATGAATTATTGAGCAATTGTGCAAAATTATGTGCTTACTATTACACAATAGGAAACAATAAGATGCATCGTAATGTGACTGACTGGCAGAATAATTCTGTCGTGGTGACTTTGCAGTCCCTGTTTTCCTGACAGCTCCTTAGTTAGGTAGCTTAACTCTCTGTTTCGAAGCGGTGAATTTTACAGTGAAATAACGTTCTTGTAACCTTTTCATCGCCCCAAAAGCCAATGTTAATCTCGCTGTGCCAAATTAAAACAATAAATTTGTTAGTTGATGCTTTGGTGGCTCGCCTGTCTAGAAATCTGGCCAATCTAGGCAGCTGTAGCTCCATTATGCACGATGAGGCTGCTCAATTTGTAAAAACCGTTGGAAAAGCATAAACGGTCTTTAAACTACAGAAGAGGTCCCTCTAGCTGCTACTAACATAGCTAATGTAGATTAGAAGGTCACTAAATCCTTTTCTCTCCCTTTAAGCGCCTGGCGTAATAGATATACCTGTTCACTCGTGAAAATTTCCATCCCTCCCACGTAGACACATCAATTTCCCTCACCTAGAGTCGTTAGAATCTTTTCGATATGATGTATAAACATCTAAATCTTTCCGGTAGGTCTCCGAGTCTGACTTGTACACATCCGAGTCCTTGCGCCTCTGTTGGGAGAAGTTGATGGACATCTTCGACGTGCACACCAGCTCTTGCTCGCCAATGACGCTGCGTTGGATCTTGTCTCGCAGAATTGTCTCCTCACTCTGGTTCTCTATTGATCCATCGAAGCTAGTCGCGTATATTCTTGTCTCGATGCCGGGACTTGCTGCGCTTTCCCGGATGGCACACTCAGCATCTCCCATATTCAAGTCGCTCAAGTGGTGGCTCCGTTTCTGGTATGATCCATTGGAACCAGCGTAACCATATAGAACTTTAGTCCATAGTGCGCGGATCACTGGAATTGATGCGCAGAGTGCTGAGACGAAGTTCTCTGTGCCCGAGTAGATGAGCATATTTGTGGTGTCATCTGCAGGGTGTTGGTCAGCATGGAGACTGAAGGTTCGTGGAAGGGAGGAGATCATTCACAGATATATTCTTCATGCGACCGAAGGCTCTGTATCGCCGTGGTTCGAAGTATACCACAGATTCCAGCGCTGGGGAAGAAGAGTCAGCTCTTGATCACATGTCTACTCATTCTCAGCCTCCCCAGCCAGTCACTTACAGAACACCCAGGCTCAGGCCGCAGATGGTTACAATCTTATCTTTGCGTTTCATGTTCAATTCCCAAATAATGAAACAGGGCACAGTACCAAGGGCAAAATCAATACAAACCGCATAAGCTAAGTCACGTTAGCACGGATATAGCCATCATTCACACGTATTCACTCACCCGATGTAGCCAGAGCAACTTTGGCTAAATCCAGCCAACAGTGTCCCTCAACATTCGGGTTCCATATTTTGTCTGCCGGAGTGCAGTGGATGAAGACGGCGATCGTGCACCACGTGGCGATGATGGAGTTGGTCACGACGCAAAACCAGATGTAGACCTTGTGCCAGGTCTGCGTCACTATTCGCAGCAACAGAAACGCCACCGCCCCTTTGCTGGCGACAAGATTGAAGATGCTCAGACCTTGAGCAATGACTTCCCACTTCATTGCTTCGATGTAATCCTCCGGGGCGATGTCGGCTCTGCGTTGCCCAACGCCATAGCTCGTGCCAACCGCGACACAAGACGAGAACGTGACAAGGAGCAACTACGTCGTAGCTTGTCAGCGACTCATTTCATAGGTATTCAACTCAATAATTTCCATTCACTCTTGCAATGGGACTTCTTCACATACAAGGGAAAGTATCAAAAAATAATCATCCAGTCCTAAACTGTGTAGGATGAACCGGCGGGTATAACATCGCGCAAGGACAAAAATCGCGGCGATAGCAGTCTCAGTCCAAAGGACCGCGTTGATCAGAGGGCCATTTCCGCCGTAGACCATTTTTATGGTGTTTCCAGAGTGTGACTGGGTGTGGAATACGATACGCAGAGCTCCAGAAATGAGGAGACTGAATGTAAGGGGGGCCAGTTTCGCTAGTCAACGAACGAACAAAGAACGCCTAAAAACGAGGCCCGCATGAATGCAGGAACGATTCTTCTTAAATAACGTTGCCTATGCCAAAAACCCATGAAGAGAGGACTGCTTGACTCCAGCTAGCGAGAAAGGTCAAACAAGGGGGACAATGGTAAGAATTGTTAAACAACCCCATGCTTTGATGCCATCCAGCTGGTTATACTTTTGATTTCCGGATGGGGTTTTCCTTCCATTGGTTTTTCCATTTTATGATAATTTCGCCTCCTCCCGTCGTCCTTATGTGTGGCTTTCATTGCTTGCATAACACAGCAGTGAAAAAGCAAGTTCGTCAATGCCGAACCAGAATCCACAAGAGGGAGGGGGGACTGTATGCATCTTCGAAGGAAAAAGAAAGAAATCTCACATCACTATTTCAAACAGATATTGGGCCCTGGTGAAACGCCACGCTCGAAAATGTGGTGATCTCCCGTAAAGGGGTCCCGTGATAGGCGAGTCTTGCGGATCAACTCCAGATAGATGGGGCGATATTCTTGGCGCACAAGATGAAAAGCGACGTAGCAATGCCTTGGTGGATGCCGTGCAGCATGCTTCACGCAAACATCACGCCAGAATCTGCGTGGCAGCCAGGAACAGGGACCTCTATCAGGCATTTCAAAGCCAGCAGCATCGATGAGGCGCCTTTTACATGCAGCCGGGATCACCGATAGCTTGCATTGCAGCAAGCTGAAAGCAGGAACTGGAAGGCTTAACGAGGCAGAAGAAATAATTATGAAATGTTATTGATTTACAGTAAGCATGGTCCAGACTAACAGAATTTATTACTCTGACTCTTCTATTCTTCACGAAACAGCTTCGCAGTCTGGGGTATACCGGATCCTGTAAAACCGCGCCAAGGTCGATTGCCTCTTTCCTAGCCTTTTCTTTCTTTTTCTTTTTCTTTTTCTTGAAGCTGGAGCAGAAAACCTTCATACTCCTTCCGTGGTTGGTTCCTCAGATCCAAATGGATCCAACCTTTGGTTTGATCTTCTCTATAAGGCATGAAACCCAGGGCCATCCCTGTCTACATGCTGTCGTGATTACTTGGACGCTAACGGGTGATATCTTGTAATACTATATAGCGATCATGTTATGGTTCTCTGTTCGGTTAGGTTTGGTTGCGGGAATTCCCAGCATCCTTGATGCACATACACGGGAGACTCTACCAAGATGACGGGGAAAACCATTGGAGATTCAATGACGAGCGTGCCGTTTGTCAATTAAAGCAGTTAATCGGACGGGGACAACGTGTCGGCGCGAGGCAAGATGGAGCAGTGTTTGGACCCCAGTCCCCTGAAAGCCATGTGGAGGTTCCCCCCCCCCCCAAGAAAGAAAATGTTCCGGTTAGCGATGATATTTGTCCAATCGTGTTTCTTCCTTGGGGAGAAGTGTCCCGCTCCCTTAGTAGACGTTAAATGTCAACTTCTTTGGCGAAGTCGAGAAGAGTCTCGCGGCCGCTTGTTGCCTCTCTTCTGTACAGGTCGACGTGTCCCTCTTAAACCAACACTCCCCGCAGCTTTCTCTACCTAGTGGCTGCAGCATCCGAGTGATATATTACTGGGAGGCTTGCATTAGTTTCTTTCTTTGCAAAGGAAAAAAAGCATCTAAATTATGCAAGTCATTGATGTTCCGTTGAGGTATCTTTCCGTGGATCATATTTTGATTCCAGTGTGAATCATCTCCATGAAATGCTTTTAGGAGACAGAAAGGAAGCGGACATCTGCTGGGTGAGTCTCTGGTCCGGACCGGCTGGACCCAGTCTGGGGGTGCTACAAAATTAATATGATCTTCATCACCTACAGTAATCTTTTGTGTCTTTAACATCTGCCCTCGTGCCTAGACATTCCCAATCAGCCCGGATTTCTTTACCCTGTTCAAAACTACAACTGATTTGGTTCTTTCTTTGACTTTCTCGGGAAAGATGCTTCTTCGTTCTCCTTTCCCCTTTATTTTCCAGGGTTAAGCGCCAGCAGTCACACCATCATTACAATGGAGATCTCGACAATCAAGATTATTGGCTTAGACCACTCTTTGCTTTTTCTTCGCTTCCTACGCGACCTCCCCTTTCGGTTAACTCCCTAAGCCAATCTAAATACAGGCTCACAGGACCTTGGTGCATTTATCCTCACGGGTGTTGCGCCCAGATCGACACTCATTCAGCTTTGCGCGAGACTCAGGCCGGCTGTCCACATGGAGCCAATCATGCGCTCCAGGGCCCGGCTGTCCTAGCACAGGACTGCTCTGCCCGAGTTAACTTCATCCAAGTGAAAATTTATTGGGGAGGAGTGAATTATTTTGCCTGAGGTACCTCTAGCCTCGGTTGTTCTGGAATGAGTGATTTCTTATGCAGTGGCAAATAGCATGTTGCAGGATCAGAGCATTGAGAAGTGTGCCGGTACACGTGTTACTAAACAATAGACTTACGTCCAGGCCTACAAATTGTGTACCTAATGAGAATCGATTATATTCAAACGAGTGGTAGCGTATAGATGTAGAACATATATACTTTACGCACCATGGCGCCTATTCGCGGTCTCTGTGGCTTTGATCAGATTCTGATCATCAGTGAAATGGGCATCACTTTTCTGAGATCTGGGGCTGATATCAAGGGCAAAAGAATAGAATTGAGATGATGCAATATTTCGCTTCGCCCGGGCTTTCCATGGCACCCATTCTGCATGCTTAGGGTCAAGCGAGTCAGCTGCAATAACTCCATAGACCTCTCGGAATGAGCTCATGCATCCCAATCTACCTTTCCACGTGTGAAAAGTCTGCAGGTGCTCGTGTTCAGGTGGTCACGGAGCAAGGTACATGCAGGAGCTGAAAGTCAGAAGCGGCCTATGCGCTATTTCTCCCAAAGGGTCAACAACAGGATATCGTAGATACACTCATTTTCCCATAACATTACGTCTCGTTGCCCTGGTTCTATACCCGGCGATGAGAGAAAGCGTAGGCAAGGTAGTTTGTAACTAAATTGGACTGAGATGCGAACGCCATAGTACATTCCTCCATCGAGGGGCCATGTTTCCAATCAATCAAGGAAGGAAATATCAGGTGCAATGCCAAGGGGCAATTCAAAATTGTAGAGGTAGTTAAGGGACCGTATGCCGGCCGTAGACATCATTATTCGTCTATATATATTTATATTCCTCCTGTCCGCCTGTGACCACAAGAACCCACGTTGCCTTCCCCAAAACTTGTATTCCAGACGCCTCTCTTTCATCAAGCGTATTATGACGTATACATCGCTTTTTGTCCCATTAGACAAACATAGACCATAGCCATATGGACCGAAAGAAAACAGACAGTAACAAGCGATATTCTAATGTACATTCGGTGGTGTCAACCCGCGGCTGATCAATTATACTTCCTCGGTCCCAACAGCCTCGTACCCGTCACGGCCACGGACTCCCGTCAGCTGCATCAGTGTCGGGCTTTCGTACATTGCTGTGTAGTCGACCCGGTCACCACCCAGGGTTGAAATGCCGTTCTCTCTCCGACCAAATACCGGGGCTGGATCAAGCCAAAAGTCCTTGCAATTGGCGATACAGCCTCTGCTATAAGGATTCTTCTTCTTTCTCTTTCCAGTAGCGGCACCACGCCCAGCGATCGTCTCGAGGAACGGGTCAACACCAAGAAGGCGACCCCATTGCTTGAGTCTGCCTCCTTTGTGCTTGTGTCCGTGTCCAGCACCTGTGCTGTCAGAGGGAGTAGTTGGAAGGGTAGGATTCAGTGGTTGCCCCGTGGATGTAACGGCCAAAGTAACCGGGCTATCTCGAACACCGTACATGTTTTCGTAGGTGGTCATTGCACGAGCAACCTGTATAGATTGGGTAAACAAGAGCATGAAAACCCATAGAAGTTGAAGAGTGGCCCAGATAGCGAGGACTAAGGTGAAGGTGTCTGCATTAACCAACTTGCAGAGATTAGGGCTGAGAAAATTGCACTGGTCGGATGCCGTTTTCGAGAGAAAAGTGAAGTCTTGAGCGAATCAGTTGAGATATTCCCACATCATGAGACAAAAGGGGGAGCGAAAATCAACTTACAATGATAAAGTAGCCAATCGTAACTGAGAATACCCGCTACGAGGAACACAAGGTAATAGAAGAAGTGCCTATGGTTATTCACTCCAACGCAGTTATATACCCAAGGACAGTGGCTAGTCTAATTAGCGAAGTGCTCAACATATACACAAGCAGTCCAACGATAACTTACTGATCATATTTTGCCACACATCGCTGGCAGGCCTTGCAATGCTTACTTCGGAGTGGTGTGCGGATCATGCAAGTCACACAGAAGTTGTACTCGTCATACTTCCAAAGCTTCAGCAGCTCGTCAATGGCGGCCTTTTGCTCTGCGATACCGTTGAGCCTCGGTACAAAGCCTGGCTCAAAAATCATTGCAGAGGCATAAAAGTATGTTGTCAACCCAAAAAGAACGGCAAACATCAAGTTGAGCAGAAGATGGGGCTTGAACTCGTCATGAGAAAAGACTGTCTTGGGTAGCACAAGAAATAACCAGTCAAGCCCGACGAGAAACAGAGATGCTGAGAAGATGCCTGCAAGCCAGGGCTATGAAGTGTGAGCGAAAGAATAGCCTTCTAGGGTGCGGAACGCAGAAAGTAACACTTACCGTCTTGTGAAATGCGCCCATGGATGAAGGTGCATATTCCAACACACGCTGCGCGGCGTACTGTATGCCAAAACCCACGCCCGCTGCTAATGGAAGGCCCATGAAGATCGGGAAAGTTGAGAGGCAGAGTATCGCAGCCCAAACAAGGACGAAGGGGCAGAGATACGTGAACCTGCGAATGAAAGCCTTCTTGTCCTGCAAAAAGTACGACGCGCCAGGCCACGGAGGAGATATCGGATGCCCATCTTCATCATAGCCGCATCCCCTCAGCGCCGAATGCCATGCTTTTTCCGTATTCAGCTCGCTAGCAGTAATGGCCGGGGTCTTGCCGGCCTCTGTCTTCGCAAACCTGTCCGCCCCGTACTCAATAAGCTTGAGGATACAGAATGGACTGCCCTTAACAAGAGACCAGTGCAACGCGGTGAATCCTTGCTCGTCGGTAGCCTCAACACTGGCGCCCCATCGTAGAAATACATCGACGCATTGCGGGAAACCCTTGTACGCAGCCCACATCAGAGCGGTATGTCCATACGAATCGATGACATCTACGGGAATGCCTTGGTGCAGGAGCAGGGTAATCAGGAAGACGTTGCCATTGAAGGTCGAGATATGAAGGGTGTTGTAACCCTGGGCATCGGTGATGAGGGGATCGGCGCCATGCTGGAGGAGCAGGTTGACTGTGTAGTAATGACAGCGCTGGGCAGCCCATTGCAGAGGTGTTGCGACGGACTCGCCACCTTTTCTATTAATCTCAGCGCCATGCTCGATCAGAAATTTGCACATGGCAAACTGGTTGTTGATCGCGGCCCACTGTGTTCAGGGTCCATTGTCAGTTTCTCCAGCGTTTCACCAGCGAATTCTTACGACACCGAAAGAGGATTACACCGTAGAAGGGAGGGTTCGAACATACGTGTAGAGGCGTGATGCCTTCATCGTCGGTGTAAGTCGCATCGTAATTCCCAGACTCGAAAAGCTTCTCCATGCCGCTAATATCGCCTACTCTTGCAAGCTGCATAATATCATCATTGCCACTCACCTGCTCCTGGTCGGTAGCAGGTAGGTCCCCCATTTCCATGTCGCTATTAAGCTTCGGCACCGCAACATCCGATTTTGTCGCTGGTTGCTTCGGGGCAGCTTTGCTGCTTTCGATGGTCGGGGCAACCATGGATCGATCGACGACGTCCCAACCGTTTCAATATTCGGGGGTTTGCGATTATGGTGGCGGGTGAGACGGGAATACAAGGCTGACTCCTGGGGGCCGTTCAAAGACCACGGCCTATATGCGCTGGGACAAGACGTCGAAAATGAACGAAGAAAGGAGTCGCGGGATTGGTTTTCGGTGGTCGCGGACAACGGGGTGTCCAATTGATAACCCTGGATTAGAGAGTCGCTAGAAATGCAGTAGGCTAATTAGTCATTAAAGAAGGAACGGATGCCACGGCGGTGCTCGACGTAAGTCCCAAGTCAAGCCAAGAAGAAAGAGAGGAGCTAAGAAAAGGAGGCCCGGAAAACTCGAGACGGAATCGTTGAGTACAAGATGCTGGACGTTTGGAGTGGGTATCTCGCCCAGGGTAAGGACGCGTGGAAGAGTCGGCTTAGGGGAGCTAAGATGCTCTAGAAGCAAGGGAAACAAGCTCTAGCATCGCCAGACGAAGATACGTAAGGGGTGGTAACTGCACAGCGCTGTGCTTCACCTCTCCCCCCACTGAAATTTGTTGGTGTGATGGGGATGGTTGGAGCAGACCGGGATGTACGTGAGATCAGCCGCCGTGCTAATTGGCTACGGCGTACTATATGCGGCTTAGCTCAGCCACGATCCGAGTTATCCGCCAGATGTGGCTTCCTAGAAGCCGTTCTTTCCTTCGTTTGGCCTGATGCTGGCAGCTGGTGCGGCTTCATGCCTTGTCACGGAGAGTGGCTGGTGCGTGATAGCAGAATAGGGACCACCAGCAGGTTGACTCTGAGATCCAGCGTCGCATCATGACGCCTGTTTCATGGCCCTGGCTCTGTTGGTTGCCAGCTTCCGAGCGTGGCATGGAATCGTACAGGGGCCAAGTCGCTGTGTTACTCGGTCAAGATGCGCCTTGCGAAATTGAATATGATAGGAAAGATCGTCGTTCGTCTCATTTACCCGCTTCATTTTGTAAAACCGCCTCGACTTGCATTCGAGTTGAAGGCCCGGAAGCGAAATGTAGAAACAAAATCAAAATTAAAAAAACACACATATAAACGTGACACACAAAAGCCCGAGTAATTAGAAATATATCAGAGGTTTTGTCACATCTTTTTTTTTCCCATTACAATATATCTGATACTGATACGCCCTGGGCAGAAGAATAGTGAATAAGTATAGGGTAGGACCTCTCTCCACCCGGAGTCGGCGCAAACACCATCCATGTGACGCCACCTGGTAATAATTCTAAATTCCACTTTACGAACTCGCCAGATCTTCCCTCCGAGGTAGATTGCCCAACTACGGAAAAGAGGCGCCTCGACTCCCGAACACATCCCGAACGCAATTGCTCGGAATCGACCTCGATCGTATGTCATAACCGCCGCGGATCCAAAATAATCTGGCTGTTGCCTCGAGCCGCCCGCAATGCCCTCGCCCACATTCTGGTCTCTCGTGGAGAGCTCACTCACGCCCTCATATACCCTCGCAATCGTCGCCATTGTCTTGGTCCTCGGCGGCCCGATCATACTCCACCTTATTTTATCCAACTCGACATCCTACATCATCCACCCTCAGGTGGTTCTAATCGGCCCTGATGGCGTGGGAAAAACGTCCTTGATGACTCTTTTCGAGCGTGGTGATTCGCCTTCGCAGACGCATACTTCCCAAAAGTCACACTCAGTCGAGCTCAACGCTTCCACGGATAGTAGCTCAAAGTACAGCTACAAGAACCACGAGGATACGACCGGCACCCACACCAAGTTCCTTCTCATCGACACACCAGGCCACGGCAAGCTGCGCAATGTAGCCATGGAGCGGCTCAACCGCTGCGAGAGGCTCAAGGCCATCGTTTTCATGGTCGATGCTGCCGCACTGGGCGAGCCCGAGTCTCTTGCCCCGACTGCCTCCTACCTTTACGATATCCTTCTCTTCCTCCAGAAGCGGGTGAGCGACAAGTCCAACAACAACAACAAGAAGAACAACACGCCTGTCCCCGTTCTCATTGCTGCCAACAAGGTTGACCTATTCACTGCACTCCCCTCGACCCTTGTCAAGACCAACCTAGAAGCGGAGCTGTCCCGCATTCGCTCATCGAGGAGCAAAGGCTTGCTGGATTCAGGCGTGGGCATAGACGACGTTGGCTCCGAGGAGCAGGATGCCTGGCTAGGCGAGTACGGTTCCGAGAAGTTCTCATTCAAACAAATGCAAGAATTCGAAATCGACGTTGATGTACTCCCTGGGAATGTCACTGGAGACGGCCCTGGGGCTGAAAAGTGGTGGTGGTGGATTGCTCAACGCATATGAGCGAGATAAGCAATTGTCAACGAGTTTGATGGTTTATGGGTCGGGAGTTGCATCAAAAAGGAAAGAGAAAGCCAGTGTTTATTGATGCTATCTCTTAATTTTTTTTTAATTACAAATAATGTTGAAAGTCTTTCGTAACATTCTCCATGTTGAACCAAGTTGAAGCGTCAGCGGCAAGATGATTTTTCTCTACCAAACCCATCCACCCAGGAGAAACATAACACAAAACCGCATTATCTCACGATCTAAAATTATACCAAACCTTAACTCTTAACGCCAAGAGACATGCTGAGCCGCTCCAATGCAAACATTCTACAGATGAGACTGCAGGAAAGGAAGATATAAAGGGAAAAAAGGGAAGAATGAGTCCCCGAAATTTATAGCTTCTTATTCACCATCCAGGTGAGGAGATCGACCTTGGTGACAATGGCAATGGGCTTGGACAGAGTGGCATCATCAGCCTTTTCTGTGACCACAGCGGCACTGTTCCACTCAAAGAACTTGCTGAGCTCGGCGAGGGGGGTGTCAAGGGTGATCTCAACAAACTTGCGCTTGCCAGCCGAGGCGGCACCCTGGCGAGGGTCGGTAATGATCTCGTCGATGCGCGCAAAGTCGAACATGACATCCTTGACCTGACTGTCGGCAGTGGCGCGGCCTCGAGAGATGTAGCTGAGGAGGTTACCGAGGGTTACCAGACCGACCAGCTTGGACGAGGCGGAAAGGACGGGGAGTTGGTCGAAGCCCTTGTCGCGCATGGTCTCGATAGCTTCGGAGCAGCTCGATGTGGCTGAGATGGAAGTGACGGGCTTGAGACGTAGAGAGGCAATGGTGGCCCCGCTATATGGGTCTGAGGATGCCTTGTGAGCTGGTGCGACCTTGCTAGCATCGGAGCTCTTGGGCAGAAGGTTGTTGGCGTCGAGCCAGTCATCATCAGCAAACTTGGAGAGATAGCTGCGGATGCTGTCGGGAAGCACGACGACAACGACGTCGCCCTTCTTGAATCCGAAGTCCTTAACGGCCAGAACCATGGCGGCCAGAGCGGAGCCCGAGCTGCCGCCAACAAGCAGACCTTCTTCGGCGATCAAACGACGGGCGAGGTAGAAAGACTCCTGGTCATCGGTCTTGTACCACTTGTCAACAATCTCTCGGTCGAGAACGTCGGGAATAAAATCATATCCGATGCCCTCAACTTTGTATGGCGCATTCATGTGCTCATCATTGAGGTTCTCGGGCAGAGCGAGGATGCTGCCTTGGGGATCCGCAGCAATGATCTTGATGTCCTTGCTATGCTTCTTCAGGCCTCGAGCGATACCAGTGATGGTGCCACCAGTACCAGCACCAGCAACAACAGCAGCAATATTTCCACCAGTCTGGGTCCAGATCTCCTCAGCAGTGCCGAATTCGTGGGCCTCCGGGTTGTCCTTGTTGCTGTACTGGTCGAGGATGTGGGCATTGGGGATCTCCTTCTGAAGGCGACGGGCGACGCCAATGTGGGACTCAGGAGCGTCCCAAGCAGCCTGCGTGGGTGTTCTGATAATGGTTGCGCCAAGGGCTTTGAGAACGGAGACCTTCTCGGCGGACATCTTCTCGGGAAGTGTGATGATGGTTTTGTAACCCTTGATCGCGCCGACGAGAGCTAGGCCAATGCCGCTGCGAAGATCAGTTAGCATGCCTGAAGGAGATTGTGCAATGGAAATGGAGGAAGAAGGTCATACGTATTGCCGCTTGTAGGCTCGATAAGGGTGTCGCCTGGCTTGATGCGGCCGCTCTTCTCGGCCTCTTCGACCATGCGAAGGGCGATCCTGTCCTTGACACTACCGCCCGCATTGAAGAATTCGGCCTTGACGTAGATGTCGGCCTCGATGCCGAGGGACTGCGGAAGCTTGTTCAGACGCACGAGAGGCGAGTTTCCAATCAACTCAGTGGCTGAGAGGACGGTGGCGGCCTGGCGAGGCGTGTGAGGGAGCTCGGCCATGATGGGTGACGTGTAGATGCCACTGGAAATGGATGATGGGGCGGGAGAGAAGGATGGGGAGGAAGAGGAGGAGGAAGAGGAGGAAAAGGAGGAGGAGGAAGAGGAATTGAAGAAGACTCAAGCTGCACAAGCGAGAGAAAAACAAATGGCGAGCAAGCAAGCAAAAACTCGTGATACCGATCCGGACAAGGATGGGGGCGCGAACGAATACGTAAAGAAAATGAAATCACACCAGGAGGGGCTGAATGGTGCTCATCAAGGTTGGCTCTGGTTTGCCCCGCGCCAAAGCCGACACTAAACGCGGGCTGCCGGGCGCATCCATGTCATTTGCTTCTGATCAAATTTTTCTCAACACACGCTTTGGATCGTGGCTTGGAACGGCTTTACACATGCAAAAAGAAGGGAAAAGACGGAGAAATATTGTTCCCAAGTACCTCTCACATTGAAGAGTGTGAAGAAAGCCGCTAAAAGCATTCCCGGCGACTTTTCTGAGGATGAATTTTTTTTTTCAAAGCTTCAGCAGGCTCGAGTTCATGTCAGGGATACACACCAAAGCGAGGCATTAAAGCGGGGCATGCCTCAAAGTGAAGCTATCACAACAGCCCAAAAAGACCAATTCGTCCAACCCAAGGAGTTTTCGAAACGACGTATTTTCTGGTTAGACTGTAAGAGGCCACAGACTACAGCTTGCTCTTTAGTTCGCCAGCCTTTAGATAGTGACTGTGCTGTATGGGTACAACGGAACGTTGGGGCGAGAAAACCAATTTGCTATGAACGGCGATGTGAGAAAGTATCAAGCCTCAAACTTTATCAGAGTCAGATTTTAGGGGATGCTGATAAAGTTTGTCCTTCAAGTACTTAGACTACGTGTCTCCTCCCAAGAAAGAGGTTAAGGGCATTGATGTCCACGTCCAAATGTGCCATCCGCAGTCTCGAGTTTGGTTTTGTCATTGGTGCTGCTGCCCCGACAGGCGTCATCAAAGCAACTAAGAAGGTATGTAGTTAGTTCGTGTACTTGCTGACAGGTAACAGAGCTTCTGCCTTCTTGGGTTGAGAAAACGTTTATTATCCGTGCTGCAAATCTCGAGAGCGACTTAGAAGTGATAGCGCTGTTTAGGTGCTAGGAGGAAGAAACATGAATGGCCGTTGGATTGTCGGCGAGAGTCTGTCACCCCATGCAAGAGTGAGCTTTTGGGCTGTTGCTGTTGGGCAGGTCTGCTCCAACCAAGGTAGGTATAGTTTTAACCAAGCTTGATATGATTAAGCAGAGTATAATTGTTACATGTGTATTACTAGGTACCCTATTGTGTAACCTGTATAAGGCACATTATGTAGGTATGATCGTGTTACTGCTAAAATCTACCTAGGCTGGTGGCAGCCATGGTTGTGCGTGTGTGAATGAGCTCTATCAGCCGCTGCTGGCCTCGACTACTTTCTCTGCATCCTTTGAGCATCGCCGACAAAGGGTCCGATCCAATTGCCACAAGTTCCTCTGCTGCTTCAGGCAGGAGGCTGGCTTCGGTGGCTTGGCGGGGTCCCGGTCGTTGGTGAATTGATGACTGATGAGTGCCGCCATTCTACTGTTGGGCGGTAGCATACGGACGAGGCAAAATGCGGAAATGACAGCCTTTTGCTATGATAACACAACCAAGGCCAGGCTCGGCTGTAGACTCGAGGCAAGGAATTGAACAGCCAGCGAGGGTGCTTCCATTCCTCTCTGCGAGCCTACGCAGCCTCTGCAGGGAAGCGTGGGCAAAATCGAGGGAGTCGTCGTTCCGTTAAGGACCTGCGCATAATTTTAAAGTACCAGACGCTATGCTGAATACATTATGTTTTGCAGGGACTGTGCTGCTTACGGTGACGGATTGGTACCTGTCCCGTCTGGCTGCGTATTTTCTCTGCAGTTGACCAAGGAACGCGCAACCCTCTCAAAACCTGCGTACGTGCGCTGGGAAAAGATACGACATCTTTCCATTCGCCACTCATACGATAGCTGTATGCAGCTAGAGCTGTCCGTAGCTGCATTTATCTGCCCTTTCTGCGGCTGTTTATGGTTTTTGTACAAAAATCCCCTAGGGTTGTAGCCACCACCATCCCTGGGCACTGCACCACGACCTGCCCTTTCGGCTCTACGTCCGTCCTGGCGGGAGCGCTCAAGAGGTGGGCAAATGCCCTATATCGGGGTTTGCCTGGGGAACTCTCCGTTGAATGGCAAGTAGATGGAACATCCGGAACTCTGCCTCCGCAGGATCAGCACGTCAACAATTATTTGATGTTATGTTGATGCAATAGAATATCGGATGAGGGTCACCGAATTCTTGAATGAGGGTTCCAATCGTGAGCGCGATAATCAGAAGGATGAAGGAGAAGAATGAACCGATAACAGCCTGCTTGAATGGGTACTTACCCAGTCAACGCCACCACCTATACACCCAGCAGAGATACATATCATAATCCTGGCATCTTCCCGGCCCCATTCCCCTGCTATCACGCCAAACCCAGCTCAATTGCGATTGTCGGTACCAGGGGGTGACATCTCTCAAATGCAAGACGCTTGGCGTGTATATAAGATCACCATCGTCCCTCTGGAGCTTGGCCAGCCAGGGACTCCAATTGAGAAGCCTGAAGCAATACCTCACCATGAAGCTGAATCATCTTGCTTTTGTTGGCCTCCTAGCCGCTGAGGCTTTGGCTACCAACGACATCACGCCTGACAAGGTTGAGGCTGATATTCGAGAGGACAAGTGAGTAACATCCCAGAGCCTTTGTTCATTGCGACAATTCAAGCGCAGCATTAGAGAAAGAGACCATGCCTCTCTCATTTGCTGGATACAGACTGTGAGGGTGTGGCGGGGAGATTCAGCTCCGCCGCTTACCCCGGATTCTCCATCCCTGCCACAGAATGCCCATACACACCAATTGCAACACTATCAGAAGTAAAATGTGTCTAACAATAGTCAAACAGGTTGCAGAGCGACCTCTGGAACCTCCTCAAAATTGCCAAAGACAATGGTGGCAACCGCGCGTTCGGTCTCCCCGGCTACAACGCCTCCCTGGATTTTGTCCTTGAGCGTGTGGCCACCCGCTTCGGCAAGCACTTTGACACTACAGTCCAGCGCTTCACTCATCTCTTCACCTCCACCAACAAGATCACCCTGACTGGACCCGATGGCAGCGCCGTCAGGGTTCAAACTTTGATGTACAATAACCCCACGCCTGAGGAGGGCGCAACCGGTGTCCTGGTAGCGTTGCCCATCGACGATGAGCGAGGCTCGGGCTGCTTTGCTGATCAGTGGGAGGGCATTGATGTTACCGACAAGATTGCTCTTGTCAAGCGTGGCTCGTGCGCCATTGCCGACAAACTTCGTTTTGCCAAGAACCTTGGTGCCAAGGCTGTTGTGCTCACCAACAATGTGCCCGGCGACAGTATCACAGCTGCCACCTTGTCTGCTGAAAACTACGGCCAGATCGCACCCGTTGGAGTTATCACCTATGAGCAAGGTGCTGCATGGAAGACCCGTGTAGATGCTGGCGAGGAGCTTACCGTAACCCTTCTTGTTGACGCCATTGCCGAGGACCGCGAGAGCTGGAACATCATCTCAGAAACCAAGCAGGGTGACCCGAACAACGTCATTATGCTGGGCGCACATCTAGATAGCGTCCAAGAAGGCCCCGGCATCAACGATGATGGCAGCGGCACCGCCGCCCTCCTGCAGATTGCCGAGTCGTTCAAGCAGTACAGCGGCATCAAGAACAAGGTTCGCTTCGCCTGGTGGGGAGCCGAGGAGAGCGGCCTGGTTGGATCGCTCTACTATGGCTCTCAGCTGTCTTCGGACGAGGCCGATAAGATCCGATTCTACTATAACTACGATATGATCGGTTCCAAGGTGCCCTTTTATGAGGTCTATGCTGATACCGACGCGCACAAGACGGGCGGCAACTTCCTCTTCGACTATCTGACCTCCAAGGGCTACCCGGCTGAATGGGGTGCCTTCGGTTCATCATCCGACTACGTAGCCTTCATCGAGCTGGGCATTCCCTCCTCTGGTCTCTTCACCGGTGCGGGGGCTCCCAACGACGCCTGTTACCATCTTGCATGTGATGACCTGGACAATGTCAACTGGGAGGCCATTACCGTCAACACCAAGGCGGCTGCCCGTGCTGCAGCAGAGCTCGCGCTGAGCGTCGAGGGTATCCCGCCGCGCGAGAAGTCCACCACAAACCCGGCCAGCAAGCGTGGCATTGCCCGGAACCTGACCAAGTGGGCAAGACTTGCCACTGGCCGCGAGAAGAAGCACAGCTGCTCAGGAGAAGATCTCAGCACCGTGTAAGCCGAAGAGGCGATCTAAAGGAAAAAGAAAGTTATGAAGCGATGTATTAATGTGTATGGGCATGTGTGAGTTGGTGGATTGTGGAGCAAATCGGAGTTGGGCATAGTGTAACACATCACTCATAGCATGACGTGGCGATGAATTGGATATGATATTGACGATGGTGAAATTGCTCTGGCCAGTCCATTCAACCGTTCTATTGTTTGGATGCGAGATGAGGGAGACTGATTAGAATTGTATTCTCAAAGCCGATCAATCAGCCTAAGAGCCGGGACTTGGTGATGCATCTTGCCCTAATCTGCTGCAGGCACAGACGGGTTTGACTTGCTGGCTGAATTTGCAGCTGGCTGAAGAAGTCCAGCCTCGACTGTCGCTTGGAATTTGGCTGAGGGTCTCGATAATGCGTGAATCAAGCCGAAGCTATTTAATCAAGCAATAGTCCAAAATCGACGATCCACCATGGCCCATCTACTAGACATCACCCGCCCATTCACATTCTCCGGTGCCCCAGCCAGCCTCCGCCATAGACACGTTCCTGTCAGGGGTTAAGAGTGATAGTCTGGCGCTTGATTGTTCAGATCGGCCCAAAAGCATACCCCATTACCAGGAAATGCTGCTTGTGGCTGTTCTGGTCTGCGTACCTGCATGACTCTGTGCCTGGCCCGCTGTCAACGAGCAAACAGACACGCGCGGCAAGCTGAAGGAGAAAAACACGCCATTGTCAGCATGCTCATGTGATTGCATGTAAGGCACATGGAGTCGAAGCGGTTAGCATTCCTTGTGTCCTGGCAAGTGGGTGACACAGGAAATGGTACACCTAATGAAGACCCAATAACCAGGCCCAATAAACACCCAAATAAACACTTGACTGGCCAATGTTCAGATGGCAATGGAGGCATAATGCCACCCCTACTGTCAGCGTGCCAGCATTCTTGACAATCCGGCAGCATCCGAGGGCACATTGGTGCCCATAGGAGAAGGTTGAGGTGCCGTATGAGTGCATGGATGGACTTCATCCTTCCCTCTTTTCACATGGCGGCGATTCAGGTGTGTTGCTGGATGCACGCGAGTCAAATCACATCTCCTTTGAACTGCAGAAACTAGAACCGCGATTAGAACTACAATGTCTTAGATGATGGTTGAACTTCAACACTGTTCCCACACGAATCCGACGAACTTCACCTTCTTCCCGAGTTTTGTCTTCTGTTGCTTAAAATTACAAATACTACGCATCCATTCTTGGCGCCAATATATTGTTCCTGCATGGTCCCATCCCGCCTCACCCAATCCTTTCACAGGAAGCCGGCTCGAGGCCTTGGCTCCTCTTCATCCGGATATTCAAACTCCCACTCCAACCAGATACATTCGTCGTGATTGGCTCATGTTCGTCTTGGGTGCGCCAACCTAGAAGACCAGGAGCCGGCTATGCCTTATCCTTCAGTGTGGGCCGGAGGCTAATTCCAATAGCCTAGTCATGAGAACCAATGTCCCATGCGGTCTTAAGCCCAGATTCGTTCCCGGAGAGCTGGGAGGGGCCAAGAGAGGTAATATTCATGTGTGATGGGACCGGAATGAGATGGGCTAGTGGACGCCTCGCCAGGCAGTCAGCCAGCCCCGTGTTGGTGGGCGAGGACCAGCCCCTTATGGGGTTGTCTGATGAGAGAAAACCCGTGGATATCTTGGAGGACTGATTCTTCTTCTTCTCTTTCTTCTCAGTGTCCATCTTTCATCGGATCCGCACCCAAGAGTCGTTCTTAGGCTCGTCCATTGACGTATCGCACGTCCAAGTCATTCGTTACTCACTTCATACAATCGTTAATTATACTCCTAATCCAACTAATACACACTCGCTATAATGAAGACCACTCTCCTCCAGGCCACCGCGGCCGCCCTCGCCCTCAGTGGCAATGTTGCCGCCAAGGTTTGGTACACTGAAAAGACCTACGATGCCACCAACTTCTTCGATGAATTCAGCTTCTGGGAGGTAAGACTGGAGTGATTGTGGACGCTTGAAACTTGAGTTGAAGGGAGAGCAAATGACTGATTATAGTCGTTAATAGAGCAAGTTTGGCACTGGTGACTACAACGACATTGATCCCGCCAAGGGTCATGTCAACTACCTGAGCAAGGACAACGCTCTCAGCCAGGGACTTGCCAAGTACAAGGACAACGAGGTCTACCTCGGTGTTGACACCACCTCCGTTCTGAAGGGAGCCTACAACCCCGGCCGCCCCAGTGTTCGTCTCGAGTCCAAGCAAGCTTACAACCGTGGCCTGTTCATTGCTCGATTTTCTCACTTGCCCCAGGCCACTTGCGGTCTCTGGCCTGCCTTGTAAGATTCGTCCACACCAATATTCAATGAAGAGAGAGCCTGTGAAACTAAGATAAGATCAAATTAGCTGGACCTACGGCAAGGACTGGCCCAAGTGAGTATCTCCTCTCCTCTCAAATTCCGTGGATGGTCAGCCCTAACATTGGGATAGTGATGGCGAGATCGACATCTACGAGGGCTGGAACGATGCCACCTTCAATGGCCCTGCTCTGCACACCGGAAACTCTGCCAAGTATGGCCAGTGCAAGATCTCCAACGACGGTCAGTCAGGTGTTGTCAAGACCGACAACTGCGATAACACATACAGCAACGAGCCGCTCCAATACCAGAACCAGGGTTGTGCTGTCAATGACTACGCCGCTCCCTACGGTGCTGCTAACGGTGGTGTTTGTAAGTAATCCACGACCTTTCGAACTTTGGTACATTGTCTGATAATTCATATCTGATTGCCAGACGCCATGGAATGGACCAGTGACTCCATCAAGCTTTACTCCTGGTCCACCGGCAATGCCCCTGCCAACGTCAACTCTGACTCTCCTGATACCGACACCTGGGGCCAGCCCAACGTCTACCTGAAGAACAGCATGTGCAATGTTGACGGTCACTTCTCCAACCAGAAACTGGTGATCAACCTCGACTTCTGCGGTGAGCCCGCTGGCTTCGACAGCGAGTGGTCTAAGAGCTGCAAGGCCAAGACCAACACTGCCACCTGCATCGACTACATCTCCCAGAATCCTTCTGCCTTCGTCAATGCCTTCTTCCAGATCAAGGATATCCGTGTTTTCGGTACCAACAAGCCCTCCACTTCTTCTACCGCCGTCTCCAGCACCGCTTCTTCCTCTGTTGCTGGTACTTCCTCGACTCTTGCCACCACTCTTGCCACCACTACTCCCTCATCTTCTGGTGCCTCATCCGGCGCTGCTTCGTCCTCGATTGCCTCCCAGCAGACCACCAGGGCCACCACTACCCCCTCCAGCAGCTTCAGCAGCCTCTCCTCCAGCTTCTGGGGTAACCAGACCACTTCCGTCCGCCCGACCTCTATTCCCACCACTGTTGTTCCCACGACCTCTGTTGTTTCCATGACCACTTCGACTGTCAGCACCACTCAGATCCGCACCGTCACCCAGTGCCCTCCCTCCGTCACCAATTGCCCTGCCAACGGTAGCGGTGGCCCCTGGGTTGTGACCGAGACTATCGCTCTCTACACTACTGTCTGTCCTGTGACCCAGACCGGCCCTGCTCCCACCGCCTCGGTCCCTACCAAGAACGCTCCTGGCGGCCAAGGACCCTCCACCATCACCACCGCCATCACTCAGACCTACACCGTCACCAAGTGCCCTGCCTACGTTGTTGACTGCCCTATCGGAAAGGTCACCACCGGGGTCATTACCACGACCATTGTCCAGAGTGGTGATTCCTCCAAGCCCACGGGTGGTGCCGTCAAGGTCTGCCCTACTTGCACTGCCAGCAACGTTCAGAAGCCTACCGTCACCGCCAACGACGGTGTGAAGCCTACCTCCAGCCCTTACTACCCCGGCGGCAACAGCACTGTTCCTATTCCCACCGGGAAGGGCGGTAACAGCGGAAATAACAACAGCGGTGCCAGCCCCAGCAGCGGACCCAAGACTGCCGGTGCCAGCGGTGTCGCCATTGGTGGTGCTCTCGCCGTTGCTGCCGCAATGGTCGCTTCTACACTCATGGTGATCTAAAAATGGCGAGGGGAGGCTGTTATTTTGTTGCTTGAGGGATTTATTTTCAAGCCGTTTAGGGATTATACGCTTGGGCAATTGGCCGATTTTGTATATTATTCTTCCCCGCTATGAGTGCTCAATAATGTACATCGAAACCGAAGACTCATTCTCTAATTACAAGTTTCATTTTCTCTTGAATCAACTTTCCGACATATGGAATATTGTATGGCCATGCCTTCTATGCCTTGTTTTCCCACCAAGAATATCTCAATTGTGAAATTTAATGAAGGGAGTAAAAAGAGTCGTAATGTCTTTGTATTTATTCATATTTCATTCCTCGTTCATCATTCTGTCATATATTTACCCGAAAAAAGCATAGAGGGGTGGTTTTGAGTAGGCTTTGATAGGCATGTACATTAAAAAGACTAGCTCTGTTAATTCTTGTTGTCCATGCAGCATCCAAGTATTTCGGAAGCCTAGGAACCAGAAAGAAAGTTCCCAAGAAAGGGCGGAGAGTGTCAACAGTCCTGTTATGGAGGTCGAAATTTGTTCATCGACTTGAACCCAGGAGAAACATATTGGCTTCCTTTTGGCGATCGTATGAAAGATTGCTTGAAAGGTCTCTGTAGAAGAAGTGATGGGCGGAGTAGAGTAGAAACCTGCGTTCTAGATACGCTTTCAAATGTTCCGAGGATCTGACCCAAAGATGGGCAGCCAAGATCATAGTCATCGCAGGACTAGTTTTGAAGTTGGCTAAACAATGAAGCAGAACCCTCCAAATCGCTTGCTCACCTCACTGCCTGCCTTTCGTTTCCTTTGTGTTGTAGTCTCAAATTTGTTCTCTCCTAATAGTATCGGTATGCATGAGCGTTGCGATAATCTCTTGCCACCTTTGGGTTGTTCCGTGGATTGGGTATCGGCAGAGCCCGGTAGGTAGGGTACTTTGGACCACCTGGAATGAGACCGCCCTCAACATTATTAAAGTCCCTCTGTGACCATCGTACCTTGGCCATGAGCGGGTGTTGTAGAGGTGGATTTGGACGCCTAGGGAGCTTCTCTACTCGTATGATTTCGTCATCATCTGAGCGATGGCGATGACGGCGCATCCGTCTACGGTTGATGCAGCAGAAGATCGTGAAGAGAACGATGATAGTGAAGCCGATGATGGCACCTACCATGGCACCAATTTCGGCACTGGTCAAACCATCGTGGCTCCGGACATGGAGCACGTGGTCTGGCATAGGAGCCATGCTATGATCGAACCGAGCCAACACGTTTGTGAACTGAGCGATGGCCACAACGGCGTAGAACTTGATAGAGGGTATGATGCTGATGAAGAAAGACGGGATGAAGGCTACAAACGTGGCGCGGGACTTAAGCCATATAAGAATTAGTAACAGAGACGATGCGTGGTTAGGAAGAGGAGGAGGGACGGGAGACGTATGTCATCGGCCGGGTGACTCAAACTGGGCAAGATTCACACCCTCAACCGCGGCGTCATTCGTTCGTGCGAACCAACATATGCGACCCAACCTGCGAGACAGACGCACTACGATTGAATGGAGCCGATTCTGCCGGTAAGGCAGACCAACATAGCCAGCCAACACATATACTTTATTAAGATAAGTGTTATCACTGCTTCAATCAGGTGCATCCCAATATGGGGGGGGGGGCCTTGGTTGGGAAACCCACCCTATCTAGCCCAGTCAGACGACAAGCTGGCTGCGGCCTGGCCCGTTCAGCCCTCCTACATGGAGTTGCTGCCAAGGAATGAAGACGAAGGGGGGCATGCTTCAAGTCTGCAGCTGACAACTGGTTGCGTTGGGGGTGGATTACATGCACGTCTGCCCAATGAGACAAGAGTTGCTTTTGGGGAGGGTGCGTGGCTATGGGGTTGCCTCGCCTTGGAGCGTTCGCTTATGGAGAAATCTGCCAGCATTGTGCCAGGGTTCATCATGTGTGCCCATGGCTTGGAAAGAGGCTCAGATAGCTGCGACGGTCTTGAAGGCCAGATTTGTGGCACGAGATAGACCAGGATATACAGGAGTGTCTTGGAGGAGGGAGCAATAGCGGTGCTCGCGCATGGATTTCCAACACGATGAACTGGCATACATCGATGTGTATGTGCATACAGCACATACAGGAAAACGACAGCAGTTTGTCAGAGTACATGTATGTAAGCGGTAGATGCAGACAACCCAAACTGTGACCAACAGTGAGCAAACAAGGCCAAACAGGATCTGGTGCAATGAGCGATCGCGAAGATTGGCCAGTGGCCTTGGCTCGAGTGTTGAAGCACGCCTAGGCACCAGGACTGCGTGTCTTGGTCCAGGATGAGACACACATGGAGCGGTTTCCGTTGACTCAGGCACATGTCAGCAACGAGCGGAGCAACGCTCATGTGCGTCATCGTACATGCTGGAATAGCCACAGTCCTAGCACGACGAATCACGGTGGTACGAAAGGAGAAAAAGAAAGGAAGGGATACGAGCCAGGCGGGCTTACAGATCTCTCTCATCTCACACGGATTCCATCTCGGACCCCCGACTCCGAGCACGGCAGATTTGGCCCACAATAGCGGCCCGGACCGGACATTGTGAGAAGTTATAGGCTGGCCCGTGAGCCTCTCCGTCTGGTCTGCGGCCTTGTCCCTTACGCTGACGTGATAATGGAAGATTTGGGAGCTCTTGTGGCCTTGGTGCTCGGATCACTCGTGCTTTTGCGACATACCGCTGCAAAATCGGGAGTGGAAACCAGTATGTATCAGTTGAACCACCCTTTATGTTCCCAAGAGAAATTAGAGAAGAAATAAAAGCTTCGACGTGGGCAAGTGCGTGACAAGAGAAATGAGACCCCCAATGGAACAGACTACCTACTGTCTACAAATGAAAAGAGAGGTTCTGAGATGAAAGCGACAATATATACCGTATTATCTGCGCAGTGTATGTTATTATTAGGACTTGCTAGTCTAATAATATCGGTCGCAGACGACAATAAGCAGCGGTTTGAGTGTCTCAATGTCAATGTCACCCACTTGGTGGGTGAGACTGAATATAGCTTCCCGACGATCCCTCACGGTGGACTCGGCACTTGATTCGAGCGCATCGCATCTCCCCGCTACCACCTCCGCACTGATCGTGGCAACCATCTCCGGCTTTCCAATACCTCCTTCCTAGCTCTACCTTAGATTAGGTATGTGATGATCTCCATGTCCCCATATCTACGGACATCACCACTGGAGGCGCGTACTGGATAAAGTCTAGTCTTCGTATCGTCTCCCCAGTTCCCCACAACCTTGCGGATAAAGACAAACATAATGCCTGCCATGGCCAGTGGATTTGACAATCCACAACCTCAACGGATAAAATCAAACAGGATGTCTCTCCAACTCAGAGGGGAAAAGACCATAATGATGGGCCGAATTCTCGGTCCAATCTGCTGCCTAGTTCCTGTCACTCGGATTATGCTTTACCGAGGGCCTACACTTGACTGCTTCTTCTAAGTATTAAAAGGCCACCGCCGTTAAAGTTGGCGTTCACGAGAGGGAGGACCGACCGGGTTGCGATAATTTGGGAACTGCGCTTTTCGCCTCTGTCGTAAAAGAAAATGCGTCTTGTATCACCAGGGGCTACTTTGGTCTTGGCCATCGTGCTTGGCCTGACGAAGGGTGCAACTGTTGAGCAGATTGGGGCTGCTCTCGACGCAATCAAGCTCCATAATATCGATGACGTTCGTGGCAATATCAATCTCCCATCTTCATCCGATGGGGTCAACATTTCATGGGCCAGCTCCAACAACGACATTATCTCTCAAGAAGGTTGGGTTGTCAGACAGCAAACCAACACCAAGGTCACATTGACAGCATCAACGAAGGAAGACGATGGCACAGTCCACGAGAGAGAAATTCAAGCTCAGGTTCGGGCTGCCGTCGAGGCCGAGGAGTACGAGGGATACGCATTCTCTTACTTTGTGGGAAACACACTTGCAGGAGAGAATATTTTCTTCGCTGCCAGTAATGGAAACGATGCACTGTCCTGGAAAGAACTGAATGATGGTCAGGCATCCCTCAAATCGACCCAGGGAACTGGCGGTCTTCGTGACCCTTTCCTCATACGCTCGCCTGAAGGCGACACTTTCTACCTAATTGCAACAGACTTGTCGATTGGAAGCGGAACGTCTTGGAATGATGCAGTTCGGAAAGGAAGCCAGTATCTTGAGGTCTGGGAATCCAATGATCTGATCAATTGGTCTACTCAGCGCCACATCAAGGTTGCACCATCAAACGCGGGAAATACTTGGGCCCCGGAGGCATATTATGACGATGAATTGGGCGCATATCTTGTTTTCTGGGCTTCTTCACTCTATGCTGAAGATGATCCAAATCATGAAGGTTCCAGTTACCATCGCATGATGTACGCAACAACGCGTGACTTTGTTGCTTTCACCGAGCCAGTCGTGTGGCAAGATGCTGGCATGTCCCGGATTGATACAACTGTCTTGAAAGAAAATGGTGTATATTACCGCTTCACCAAGGACGAGGGAGGTACTGGCAGCGGTTGCTCTGATATCATCCAAGAAAGCTCCACACGGCTTCGAGACACTCTCGAAGGATGGAAGACAATTACATCCTGTATTGGACACAACGCAGGAACATCAAACGTGGAGGGACCAACAGCTTTTAAGTCCAACCCTAACGATGTTCATGGTGAGAAGTTCTACCTCTTCGTCGATGAATACACAGGCCGTAAATACATCCCCCTAGCTACCGCTGATATCGCCAATCCGGATTGGAAAGTTCCTGGATCCTTCTCTCTCCCCTCGAGCCCCCGGCATGGGACGGTCATTCCAGTTACCAAGGCTGAGCTAGCAGGACTCAGAGGCGAGACGCAGCGGGCTAACTCAGACGAGGCTGTCCTCCCTGGTTACTTTGCTGACCCGAATATGGTCGTTTTTGAGGGAGATTGCAACTACTACATCTATGCCACTACAGATGGGATCCCTGGATGGGGTGGGAATAAGTTCTACTCTTGGAAGTCGCGGAACCTCGTGGACTGGATCCGTTCAGAAGATCCGTTTCTGGTGCTCGATGGTGAGAACGGGAATGTCCCCTGGGCCACGGGGAATGCCTGGGCTCCAACAATTATCGAAAGAGATGGAAAATTCTACTTCTACTTCAGTGGAAATAGTCCCGAGCACTCCAACAAGGTCATGGGCGTGGCTGTTGGGAATTCACCACTTGGTCCCTTTGTGGCCCAGGAGAAGCCCATGGTTACCGGGGATGAGCCCGTAAGGACCTCTGGAGGAGCGATTGACCCTTACGTATGGCACGATCAGACCACAGGGAAGTACTACCTCTACTGGGGTAATGGCACGCCCGTGTACGCTCAGCTGAATGATGACATGGTCTCCGTTAATTGGGATACCGCGGCGAATATGGAGGGCCTCACAAACTATCGCGAGGCAAGTTTCATGAACTACCGCCATGGCATCTACCACTTCACATACTCCATAGACGACACCCGTTCAGAGAACTATCGGGTTGGGTATGCTACTGGACCCAGCCCTGACGGCCCATGGACCTACCAGGGAGTCATTTTAGAGAAGGATACGTCGCAGGGAATTCTGGGTACAGGACATAGCTCGATCGTCAACGTACCTCAAACGGATGACTGGTACATTGCTTATCACCGGTTCGGTATTCCAAATGGAAATGGCACGATGCGCGAGACGACTATTGACAAATTAACATTCAACAACGAAACTGGTCTGATTGAGACGGTCATTCCGACGCTTGGTGGAGTGCCCGCGCAATTTATTCCTGGATGCGAGACCAAGCGCGATAGAGTGAAGAAAAGAGGCATTCGGCTCCCATTGGCGGGCTAACTTCAGGGGGAGATACAGTATCGTATGGAAATCGTGACAAGAGTTCCCCTCAATACATAACTAGTAGTCAATGTAAATCATCCGCTTTTTATGAATACGAGCAAGGACTCCGTGGGATTCAGACATGACCAGAATTACTGTGGCGGTTTTTCACATAACAATGCTTCTTATTATATAATAGGAAGCAGATAATATTGCTTATAACTGCTCAATACTATGTTTCTGTTTTTGTTGTTATAGTTATAAACTGCTATATATCATAATCGTAGCCTATATTTGAAAGTTAGGATTAAAACACCTTTGAAGTCCCTGTCATTCTGACGCCCACTTGCTCGCATTTCAATACATCTGATACAGACTCTGGTCCAAAGTGAGGATCAGGCTATCATGTCCCGACCAAAATTAGAGGCCAAGATATCCCACACGTTGGCAGATGAGATATGCCCAGAAGAATATCCAGCATTGATTTCAGCCCCATACCGTTGTTGAGGGCATAATTTTATGAGCGTGTGTGTTAAGCTAGTTAGTAGGTTTAATATACAATAGTGTAACAACGTCAGCCGTCTATTTTGCAGATGGTATGCTACGCTTAGTTGACCCTAAAACCCTCCATGTGCTGATGTTCTTAGAGACTGCACATGCTCCGAGGTACGAAAGGTAAATGAGGTTGTACGGGCTGGCGACTTCTATGTAAAGCAAAAAAGGCCATGGAGGCACTGAGGCCTGCCATATTGAATGCGGGAAACGGAACACCAGCCCAAAAGGTTTGAGCACTGCTTGTTTCCAAATTGCTCTCAATGCTGTCAAACTCATCACTGATGGTTGGCTTCCTCGAACAAAGCCTGAATGGCGATCCTATGAAGTCAATCTCATCGTTCTTTTTAGGCTGAATCCCATTAATCATGCAAGGCTGATTGGTGCCTGTTTCCGATCCCAAAGCAACATGACGAAAGCAGATCGACCTTAGGAAACCCAGAATCATTGGGTAAAGTCTCATGATATAGGCAAAGAATGAGTTTCCTCAATTCTGCCAATTGCAGCATGGACAAGTTCGGATAATATCTCCGGGTTTTCACCCATGGGATAAACTCGTACAATTTCCAGACCAACGCGCCGATACTCTGCCGAAAAAATATCCCAAAGCTTCTGGGATCGCCTATCCGTACTATGAGGTCGTGGATAATATGGGTTATTTCCCCAAAGTGCCTTTGCTATGGCTGTCAATCCCGAATCATCTGCTGTTATCGGTCTTGAGCAATCGAAGTCAAGCATCCAGAGAGGGTGCTCGCCCAGTACACTGGTATTGGCCTCAAGATCTCCTCTTGGGCTGCCGAGCACGAACTCTACATCAGCAGCATCGGTTCTCACTTTCCAGTGAAGTGTTGCTAGCGCCTTGGCCATGGCTTTGGCGTACAATTCACAGGGCAAGGCCATTTTCTCGGCCTGGTTGATGTGTAGGGGGAAATTGCGGAGGCTGAAAAATCTAGTTTGTCGTTGTTTAGGATTCAACCGGCGCTTACAGCCAAGATAGACTCGCACTAAGCAATGGTGATTTTCTTTGCTGTTCAAAATCTGATCTCTTAATTCATCCGGGCAGTAGTTCTCAATAAGGGTGCGCCGAGCTTGGATCGACACCGGCTGTATCTTTTCAGCAAGCATTGCATTGCAGCCTTGGAATCCATCGGGTAATTGAGACAGTATCTGACGCCATCTCGGGTCCTGACTCTCCATGAGGTCCAAGCATGACGGCACGAGCACCTGCTCTAAACTTGTAATTAAGCAGATTTGCGACTGCACGAGGAACTCGTTTTCAAGGGGTCGGCCCGGGGCTCCATCTTCCCTTTTGATAACAACAAGGGACAGGGTCTGTTTCAGGGGATGTCAAATTGCCCCAAACAGAGCCACAGTGGCCGGCACCCAAGCGCTCGAGCCGCCCTGAGGCTTTCAAAGTGAGTGAACGCATTGCCCCTGGGTTGCTTATGTCCGAGTGCGTGCTTGGGGTGACTTGGCACATAGAGAGGAGCGTATGGATCTAGCCACACCACACAGATGCACAGAGTTTAGACAAGCTTGGATCAAATGCCACTTGATGATAGCTCATCGTGAGTCACGTGATCGCATAACGAATTGTCAGGATCGACGGTCAGCCGGTTTAATCGCCTGAATCGTTGTGGCCTGCTAGGCGGATGAATGGGGTGACAGCGCACTGGGGAAGCTGTTTTAACCAGCTGCTGTTTGGTGTCAGCCAGTTCGCATTGACGTCTTCTGCTACTTGACGTTTCGAATTCAGGCTAGATTCTGTCATCGTGAGGAGCGAGCCTAAATGCTCGATGAGATGCGAAAGCATTTAGGCTTGGCTTGATTTAGGCTCTGACAGCACAGCGCAAGCCGGCTTCCCGTGATGCCCATGGCACTACTCCAACGGTAGTTGTTGCCATCACCACGGCTGTAACACGTTATTTATTTCCGAAATCGTTCGTATTTGGTAAGCATGTCGAATGTCGAGGCTAATCACGAGGAAATCAAGTGGATCCTGGCCGTGTGTTACGGCGGTTTCAACCTCAGAACTGAAACACGAGCGACGGTTTGGGTACGGCATCCAAGGTGAACTGGCCTAACTAGGAACTCGGAAGCAGTCGACCGAGATCTTTGACTGTGTATCTTGACCTTGAATTGCTCTCCTTAGATTTTGCGGAAGGGAGCAATGTTGGAGTATATATTGATCGCCTTGTCCTTCGTCCGGGAAAGGGATATCTCGATACTCCAGCAACATTGATCACCACTGAAGCACGTAAACAAACCAACAGTCAATCCAGACAACATGCATTTCTCTACCCTTTTCGCAGCAACATGCGCCTTCATCTCGGGCACCATCGCAGCTCCCGGTCTCAACCCCAATCTCGAAAGCCGGGCAGTCACTCCCAACGCTGAGGGAACTCACAATGGTTTTTTCTACTCTTGGTGGTCCGACGGCAACGCAGCTGCGACATACTCCAACGGAAATGGAGGTTCCTATAGCATTTCGTGGGAGGCTGGTGGAAATCTCGTCGGCGGAAAGGGCTGGAACCCAGGAACTTCTCGGTATGATGCGATCGTGCTTTTGATCTGGCACGGTTCAACCAGCAAAACGTCAAATTTCTAACTTGCGCGGCAGATCCATCACCTACTCGGCGAATTGGAAGCCCGTGAACAACGGAAATAGCGTGAGTGGCGCCGGGTACCAAGGCTGGAAGATTCATGACGCTGACGTGACGAAGTATCTCACCATCTATGGATGGACTCGCAGCCCGCTCATTGAGTATTATGTCGTCGAAGCACACGGCGAGTACAACCCTGTAAGTCCATACTGTCCCTCCAATGTACCTTGATCAGTCCCTAACGGTCTGGTTCCTCCAGGGGTCGTCTGCTACTTCCAAGGGTTCTGTCACCATCGACGGTGCCACATACCAGCTGTACCAGAGCACCCGATACAACGCGCCATCAATTGACGGCACCAAGACTTTCCAGCAGTATTGGGCCATCCGAGACAGCCAGCGCACCTCCGGCACGGTCAACATGGGCACAGTCTTCAACGCCTGGGCCTCAAAGGGCATGACTCTGGGAACCCACTACTACCAAATTGTTGCCACCGAGGCATACAATAGCAAGGGAACTTCCACGGTCACTGTGTCGTGAGCAGATGATTGAAATGAAGCGTTCTTGGGATTTATGTATAGCGGGAAAGGGAAATGAAATTGATATCAGTCGGTCTTTAGCGCGAGGGCGGGATGGAAAACATGTATAGAAGCGGCGTGAAGGACAGCGCTGGGCGTGATCCTCCGTTCAGGATTTGTCGGGTACCCAGTCTATCAGACAATAAACAGCCGCTTCGTTGCGCTCATTTATCTGCAGACATACACGAAGCCTAGTGATCACTGTGCAGTATCATTGCTAACTCATGCATCTGTTTGCTAGCAGCTGCTGCATCTAGCACCAAGGGGACACAATGTTCAAGATTAAGAGGGACGAAGTGCTCGTTGCAAGTAGACAGCACCATCAGGAGGTGTCGGCAGTTCATTACCACGCGTTGCGAAATGCGGTACTTGCGGAGTTGTACCGGGCATTTATCGGTGAGCCATTTCGTGATTCCCATTTACAAATCAAGAAAGCATACTCGCTTTGGCAGGTGTGTGTCACTATTCCCCTTTGCTGGACAGGGGTTGCCTCAAGCTCGGGTATTAATCGACTGGAGATCTTCAGAGGCTCTCATCCTGGCAGCCTCTTTTCATGACGCAAATCACCTCTTGGAAATCCCACCAGGGTCCGCCCCATCCAGCCTTGATCCTCCGGTAACCCTCCGGTCCCCAAATCATCTGATCCTGACTGCCATGGGCGGATATCCCGTAATCCAAGACACCCAAAGACCATTGCCCCGAAATGGACAGCTACCAATTAGCCGGCAGGCAATGATCGACCCCCGCAAGCTGGTGAGTTCATTCTAGATCGTCTCCCCCCTCCTTCTGCTATGGGAGGCCAAGCCCCTCCCCTCGCTGTCGCCGTGCCTGTGCCTGGACCTGGACCTGTGTCCGGATTTGCAGGTTTACGATGTCACGAATCCTTGTTCAAGGGCATGATGAATGGGGGCCATTACGTATGGATGGTTGTTTGCTGGACGAATGAAAGTAGGAGAGGCCCATCCCATCGATCCCCTCCTTCTTCATGGTGTGTCGCACCATAATTTCCACAGGACACAACGGCATGGCCGCGCCTCCAATCAGTCACAACTGACAAGCCAAAGGTGTAACCAAGCTACGCCTAGAAAGATTTCGTCATCGGAGGGAAGAGATGTCAGTCAAACACACAGAAGATCAAGTCCGTCCTGCAATCCGGAACCTGGTGAGGGGCGCATGACATTTGATGGCAAGCAGCCCATCAAGAACAGGGGTATCCCAGCAAGTGAAACCCAACCCTTCAACAACAGAACCCAGATCTGAACCCGAATACGCCGTCAAGTGTTCCCTCTGAAATCTTGGAAGAAAGAGGCGGAGGGGGGAGATGAAAAGGACAATGTCAAAATAGAAAAACACCAGCTAGATATGCTCAATTTAAGTAGCTCAGTCTTAAGTCATTTGAGTCAAATCATCGTTTCTTGCCACATTCCGTGTAAGTTGAAAAGATTGGCATATAATAGGCGAAACAACCAAATCTAAAGCTGGCAAACAAGGCAGTAGCCGAGACAACGGCCCTCTTGGACCAGAAGGAGCAAACAGGAACGCGTCTTGGCAGCGTGCAGGGCCTGCATTTTCCAAGCTGTAGCACCATTAAGCATACATCATCAGGATTATCTTATACATAAGTTGTCAATACAAGATGGCTACGGCACTGGCATGCGCAAGAGGCCCCCTGGAACTTCCTTCCCTGGAAATCGTCGAGTTCATGGTTCCCAGAACGGAATGCGATGCCACTCCCTTCACCTCTGTTCCTCTCTTCCCTATATTACTCCTAGCCATCGCTCATTGTTTCTTTTTCAAACAACCCGCACAAGCCATCCTCTCATGTTTTACCCCGAGTAGCATTTGTTTCGTACATACGCCATGTCACTCAAGCAGTGTTTGAGAGCGGTTTGCGGCATCAGGCTGCTCACCTGTGTCAGCTTTGCTGGCGATCCTCTATATCAATTGGCTTGGGTTAAGCCCTTCAACCTCGACATTCCAGTCACTCCTGCCGCCGTCATCCGCCCCAACACTGCGGAGGAGGTAGCAGGTGCTGTCAAATGTGCGAAGCAATATAATGTCGCCATCCAGGCCAAGTCCGGTGGCCATTCTTATGGGTAGGTAATTCAAAACGATCTCACTCCCACGCGAGATGGCATGTCCTGTGGTCGCTGCTTTGTCTTCGTCTCTAACTGTCCGTGGATAGAAACTTTGGACTGGGGGGTGAAGATGGAGCCATTGCAGTCGACCTGGTCAACCTAAACAGTTTCAACATGGACGAGAGCACCTGGATGGCAACCTACGGTTCAGGGCTCCGTCACCGAGACCTGGACGCACACCTCCATAACAACGGCGCGCGGGCAATTGCCCACGGTACCTGCCCCAGCGTTGGGGTCGGCGGCCACGCGACAATTGTAAGTTTGATAACGGCGTTTAGCATATTGGAATGCTGCTGACAATGATCATGGCAGGGCGGACTGGGACCCATGTCAAGGATGTGGGGAAGCTCGCTGGATCATGTCGAAGAAGTAGAAGTCGTCACTGCCGACGGAGAGATCAGACGGGCCAGCTACACAGAGAATGCAGATCTCTTCTTTGGAATCAAGGGTGCCGGTGCCAGCTTCGGCATCGTGACCCAGTTCAAGGTGCACACCCATCCAGAGCCTGGCAACGTGGTTGAATATACATACAGCCTCAGCTTCGGCTCTCAGAAAGAGATGGCAAGCGTGTTCAAGAAATGGCAGGCACTTGCCGGAGATCCCGAACTGGACCGGCGATTCTCGACTCTCTTCTTCGCCCAACCTCTCGGCGCCCTCATCACAGGCACGTTTTACGGAACAGAAGAGGAGTACAAGGCCACGGGAATCCAGGACAAGATCCCTAGTGGCGGTGATGTCGACTTCAAACTCGTGTCGTGGCTGGGATCTATCGCACACCAGGCCGAGGTAGCAGGCTTGGGCCTGGCTGAACTGCCCAACCCCTTCACAAGCCGATCTCTAGCGTTCCGCGAGGAGGACCTCCTCTCTGATGCCGCAGTTGACGATTTGTTCACTTACCTCGACGAAGCCGACAAGGGAACCATCATCTGGACGCTCATCTTCAACTCGGAAGGTGGTGCCATGGCCGATTTTACCGAGGGCAACTCATACCCGCACCGCGACAAGGTCATGATGTACCAGTCCTATGTGATCGGTATCCCTGAGGTTTCAGACACGTCCAAGGCGTTTGTGGAGGAGGTCCAGAGACGTGTGCGTGCTGGGGCACCCAATGCCAACACAACCTACGCAGGGTACATTGATCCGACGCTGGATAGACAGGCTGCGAACCAGTTCTACTGGGGAGACAAGCTGCCTCAGCTCAGGGAGGCGAAGAAGAAATGGGATCCCAATAATATTTTCCGCAACCCTCAGAGTGTCGAGCCGGCAAGTTAGTGTGGCCAGCTGAGAGACTGTGACACCGGTGGCCAGGACATGGGAAAGGGCGAGACGAGTCAAGGAGAGCAGAGCGGGAAGACTAATCTTGCTCTTGTCATCACTGGCGTCGCTGGTTCTCTGTGGTTGTAAATATCTTTTAGCCAGTCGGTCTATACATACTTGCATAATTTCTACTTCGCACTCCCAACCACGTCATCACCACCTACAGTAAGTATATCGTCCCTGGAATGAGAGCCCCGGCATGAATCAAATAATATCGTACAACAATGGGATCAGTCGCTGTCAGCACGGGAGAGGAGCAACGGCCCTGAATCTAGAGGCTTACTGGCCATCCAATCCCGCTATTTGCCAAGGGTGAGGGGTTCCTGGTCGCCGCCCCGCGCCTTCATCTGCATCTCCAACCCGATGGCCCATCCATGAGATGTCACCATACTCGGGCTGTCGAACGGCCAGAATCGACACAATGCGCCAGCTGGGGGAGGAGGTGGACGAAGGCCCGTAGATAGGTAGCTATTGCTTCAGCCTACCTTCCTATGTAGCTATCCCAGACCCTCAACCAATGCCTCTCGAACGACACACGCACGCCATGACAAACGGAGTGACGTCTTCCTCTCCAACAACCCGGATATTCTGGCGTTCATCCAGATTCATCCTCACGCAGGCCTCACTTTATATCTCTTTGATTTACAATCTGGCTGTAGCTGCCAACTCAAAACCCATCACTACTCTCATTCCCAGCACATTTGAGTGAGCCAAACCTACCATATTCAACACATTTCAGACAGACAGACAGAGCAAGGACTACAATTGTCGTATTACTCTCGTCGGTCTATTTCAATTAGGTTCCTGTTCCACGTCTTGTTGTCTCGGACTGTTTACATTCTCCGAAGCCATGACACTTGTTCGACTCCTCAAGGCCAGTCTGGTGCCTCCACGGATCCAGTTGACAATGAAATGCAACCATAACAAGAGAATCTTTTAGACTGCCACAGTACAACCTGCAGAACCGAGCGAAGCTGATGGGGCCAACCACCCAATTCCGTCAATCTTCAAGAACTCTCCACCGACAACGGGCCTGCTTATATCCTCTCCTACGTCCTCCACCGCCTCCTCCGCTTGTTTCAAGAGTTCTGCCACCGGTGCTGCTGTGAGAAATAGTCTTTTTACTCACAGGGACCATATTCACTCAACTGTCGGTAATCACGAAACGCTATGCATCAACATCAGTTGACAAAAAGAAGATAGCCAATATGTATACAGCGTCCTTTGCCTTTTTGAGGTCATCTGGGAGGCTGGTATAACTCACTGCTTCTTCAACCTGGGCTCGGATCATACCAGTATCCTCGAGGCCATGGTCAAAGGTCAGTGAGAGGCTAAGGGGAGGTTTCCCCTCATCAGCACTTATCCAAACGAGGTATGTTGCCCTACTTAATGCCCGTGTCATTGGTAGTCAACTTCTAAGTCGAGCAAAAGGAGCAGAATTGGGGGAGGGGAGAAAATTCAAAGGAAGCAAGCACGGCAACGTGGTGCCCACGACTATTAGATGGTAGCTATTTCAATGTCTGATGGCTATGCTCGATTGACAGGCAAGCCTCAATGTGTCATTGTTCACGTCGATGTCGGCACCCAATGCCTCGGCACCGCTGTCCATAATGCGTCTACCGGCCGGGCCCCTGTGCTCGCCTTTTCCGGACTTTCACCACTTACGCTCGAGGGTGAGCTGCGCGGCTCACTTGCATTTCATCTACTGAATGCAGGCTGTCCCTAACTAAAATTCCATCCTAGGCCAATACTGCCGTGCCGGTACGTAGTGGAGATCAAGACCGGAACCAACATTAAGCAAATGGTCAATCGGGCTCTACAGTTTGCCCGGTCATACCCCCAGGGCCCTATGTACCTCTCCGGCGCCGATAGGTTATGGAGGCTGACATTAAACCGTATTCACTCGACCAGGAAGTCTGGGAACCGGTTGAGCTAGGTGGACTACCGACCAAGGCAGCTGCCGATATTGCTGGGGCCCTCGCTGGGGCCGAGAGACCTCTGCTTATAAAAAGATATTATAGGCGCGACCCCAAAATCCCCAGGGCGCTTGTCGAGCTAGCAGATACTATCAAGGGGCTCCGTGTGCTGGATACGGGCGGGAGCAACATGAGCTTCCCTAGGAATCGCCCAGCCTGGATCGGTCTTCGATATGGCTTACGAAGAGATAATCGAGGCAGACACCTAGTGGTGCAAATGAAGGATGGAACGCGCCTCGCAAGTCAATGCTGCTAGTTCACCCCAACGGCCTTGCCGCAAAGGCGACCAACGAGGAGATCAGCATTTCGTTCGAGCCTGTTCCAGACTATGCAGGCATCGCCAAGGCCACCGGAGGGGGGGCAATCCATGCAATGAGGGTGGAGAAGGCTGCGGAGCTCGGGGTGGTACTCAAGGAGGCAGTGGCCACGGTGCAGGCGGGCACGACGACGGTGGTGGATTACAAGGTTGATTTCGATTGCTGAGGCCGGTTTGGGTCGGCAGAGGGCCCATCTGGAAGTGAGTACACTGTTTCCAAACTTTGGCTCTTGAAGATTCTGCAGGGGGCGGCCAGTACGCTCGTGAGGCCAAGCATCTTGTTGAGAACCCTTAGTACTCGACCTCTAAAGGCCTTGAGAGCACAGCGAAGGGCGAGTGCAGAAGTAATGCAACCTTGTACGCAACATAGCCACTTAACGCTCGTTCCAAAGACATGGCGGTCTATATGCCACGGAATATCGGCCCTGGTGGAGTAGATATAAGTAGTATTATGGAGATTGGTGTTGAAAAGGCACTCCAGAACAAACGGATGCATCGCTTAGTCTTGTGCAAGACTTCTAGACCGTCTCTGCTGTGGAAATTTCAGGGATTTATCGGATGATTTTTTAAGCTCTTGGACCCAGTTCTCACTCTGCTGCTTCTTGGGTGGTGTCTGAGTCCTTCCCCATGCCGATGCTCCGCTTGCCAAGGCATTGGAGATGCCCTACCATCAGATCATTCTTGCTTCCAAGTGGGGGTCCGGGCACTTTTCAGGTACATGGACAAGATATGCAGATCCGACTGCTTTGGGGATGGCTGCCCTGGTGAATGAAAGCAGAGACAAATAAGGACTTCAACAAAGCGTGCTGGTCGTCGTTTCGGCTGTCGTGCGATGATAGCACGGCGCCGACTCGCTGATTAGCGGTTCCCATGCAAACCAAGAGCGATTAATTTGTGACTAGATCGCTAGTAGAGTACCTTACCTTAAAAAAGGTAACCAGCTGCCTCAAGGTGGCTCTCATAGCGGAGCCGTCCCAGTACACGGACGTCTGAGTGCGGCTCACATCGATTGTATCTCTTCATGCTTCGATCGAATTGAGGTCAGGGCTTGGAGCTTGCGGTCCTACCCAACTGCAGGATCATGGACATGAACGAAAAGACTTGACAAGCCCTTGATGGTCAAGCCCAGTTCATCATCGCCAGTCGAGAGGCCCAGATGATAAGGTTGCTTGGCCCAGGTCTTGGTAGCAACTGTCCTGGAGATGGATCCGCATACAGAGCTGATCTCGTCGGTGGTCGAGACGGAAGACACGCCTGCACATCTTAGAGGATTCAGAGCGCAAAGGACAGAGGCCCATGTCGGATAATCACGTTGTGATCATCATGTGCGCCCTTGCTCCCCTCCCCACCGTTTTCTTGGTGGTCCTGCGAGTTAGAAGACGCTGCCTTAGGGCCCAGACTCGATCGAGGCGTCGGGTGACAGTTCTCAACCAAGCGAACCGCCCAATTCCGAGCGAAGGGCCTGAGTGGTGGGCTGACGGCTGCGAGGCTCCACTGGTCTGGCAACGACCCCTCACTGCCTGAAGCAGTTTAGGGGCCTGCAGCCTACTGCGGGCGGCTCCTCTGCAGCAGTATGTGATGCCCTGATGCCGTCTTGGGCGGTAACCTCCACTGTAACCCACCTCGTGCCATGCTCCGAGGCGCTGTGGTCGCTGCCGGCCGGGGCCTCGAGGTTTTCAATGCCAATTCGGTACATTTCCCTCCCTCTTCCCACCCCTCCACGAGCCATCAACCCATCCCCAAACATTCCATAACTGGGTTGCTGAATTGACTGTCCATATTAATACCTTGGCTCTACGCGTTTCTTCTCTGCAGTCTCTTCAAGCCCGCTCCCCTGCCCAGGACCTACATGAACCCCGTCTTTCCAGGCTCTTTTCCCACAGCCATTCCCCACGCGACCGAGACACAAGAGACCACCCTAGGGACAAAAAAATTGACGAGAACGGCCTCTAACAGAACCTCTCTCTGGACCGCCAGACAGACAACAAATATACACGAGGAACCGCGTCAGCGACGAGACAATGAAAGGCGCTCACTCAGTGGATCCCAGCAGAATCGAGTTGCCGAAACGACTGGGCCTTTCAGCGACTTTGACTCTTGAGGAAAGAAAACATCTTTGATTATTAGTATTTCTAGCACCCATCATTTCTGCCGCTCAATAGGTATTCCCTATACGTCCGAAGCCATGACCGACTGCGCCTCCTTAACGACCACAACGCAGACAAGACTCCTCCAGCCGACACTCCAACTTCACCAGGCCACGACGAAAGCTCCCTCTATCCCTCCCATTGATCAAGACTTTGCCAGGCTTGCGGCCTCAGAGGCTCTGCGCCTGCTAAGCGCGAGCCTTGAAACTCTCGTCCATGTCACCGGTGACATCCCCCCAACGCCTCCTCCGAGGTCACCCACCGATCCGCAGATGAGCGGACTACAGGCCGAGAAGGATATAATTGCACGGTCACGAAGATCTAGCCCAGCCCCCGGGAAGGCTGATGCTCGCATTCACTACAACAAACCCAGGCCGCAGGACCAAATCGGCGATGCCTCAGTTGACCGATCGCGCAAGGCAAATACTCAGCAGCCAGAAATCGACGGCGTGCGATTGAAATCCCCTTCTCCTCGAGCTCCCGAGCATGTCATCATCTCTGGCGACTCGCATCCTCTAAACACCCAACATAGTGCCATCACTCGCAAATTCTATTCGAAACTCGAGCCACCCATCACGATCACGCAATATCTCCTACGGCTGCACCAGTTCTGCCCCATGAGCACGGCTGTGTACATCGCGACTTCGCTGTATATCCACCGGCTTGCTGTCGAGCAGTGTGCCATCCATGTCACTAAACGGAACGTGCACCGCCTCGTTTTGGCGGGACTCCGCGTGGCTACCAAGGCACTCGAGGACTTAGCCTATCCACACTCCAAAGTTGCCAAAGTTGGCGGTGTGAGTGAGGCAGAGCTGGCGCGGCTGGAGATCAGCTTCTGCTTCCTAGCCGGGTTTGAGCTTGTCATTGGAGAGGAGATGTTAAGAACACACTGCGACGTTCTGAAGGAGAAGAGTGACGAGGCGACCAAGCAGCAGAAGGGGTCGGATGAGAAGGTGCTGGAGCTGCGGATGGCAAACAAGCCAAACGGGGTTCAAGAATCATGAATAAATCGTCCTCGGCCGAGATGTAACATGCCTGAAGCAGCGCATACTTGGTATTCTAATGCATCACACAAGAGAGCACCATCGCCGCCACACTAAGAAGCTAGACAGGAGTTGGATACCCGCTTGTACTTTTCTTTCATATCATTTTTGGGTTTGCATCGGACAGCGTGGCATACATAGGGTGGGTCGCACCCATACAGACGGAGCAGATACAAGACCTGGCCAGTAAAGGCCGATGAGCGATGGGCATCCATCTACTCGCTTTACCTCGCCTTATTCATCTCAT